ATCATAATTAATGAAGTAACCAAAAAAAGTAGTGATTTGAAGCTTTTGTTTCACCCCATTTAAATGCATACACTAAGTCATTCAGGCGGCTGCAATTAATAGTCTAAAAAGAAAACATCATCCTGTTTAGTTCAAATAGTAGAACAGTAATAAATTTTTAATACTTTGAATAATTACAGTTAAAATCACGAGAGGAAAAATAAAGTTGAACAAAATCACAACCACTGAAAATCTTAAAAAAACATCTTTTTGTCTCCCATGCTTGTTAACCAAAAAATACAACGTTTTAGCTTAAAATAACAAACTTCTATAATACTCTTTTTAAACGGAACAGATTGCATATCTATGTACGCAATTATTCTTAAAACATCTACTGTACTAATAATACTATAATACCCTAATATTGTGATATTTAAATTATCTCAAATTATACCTACATGTTAAAGTCTGTATGCCTATATCTACAATAAATCTACTCAGAATAGTCACGCTTTTAAAACGTTCCTTCAAAAAATGTGCAAAACTTTAATAACGATGAGAAATGTAAAAGCATCAGTCATTTTTCAAATTTTTTAAAACGTTTTACTTGTTTAAAAGTTACACATTCAAGTTAATTGCTGTTTGAAATAATGTTCATCTATTAAAAGCTATTCTCTTGCTAATTCCGCGTATTTAGTTACTCCCTAATTAATCAGCTGTAGCTCCATATTTAATAAGGGCATATATTTTTTCCTTTTTCAGTCGGTGTCGAATGCAGGCTTTCTCCAAAGGAATTTAATATGCGACAATAAGTGAATTTGAGCGGTTTAAAACTACGGTAGTAGGTTTAGCTTGAGTGCAGCAAGTCGTATAAAAACAGTTGAATGTAATAAATCAAGACATTGACATAATACTAAAGGTATCGTATAAATTATATCATTTATTTTTATAATATTCAGTTAAAAACTGATCTTCATAGTATATTCAGTTTAAAGCTTGTAAAATATCTGTTTATTCTATCTAACCATATAGTTTATGCTACTCAGCTTTACTTTCACTTCTTCCTTTCCGCTTTTCTGCTAGAATTTTAATTTTAGCTCGCGCGTATTCAAATGAGGTAGAAAAAGATAGTATTTAAAAGAAAATTTTAAACTGCTTAGAAAGAGCGTGTTTCGTCTGCTGAAGGCCAAGTTACTAGTTGAGTTTTTTACGATAGTAGTCTATCTTCAGCACTGGTTTTATTCTTTCCAATAGTGCTTGTCACGCCAGTGCAGATTTGAGCCAACTTGCGCGTTAATAATTTCTGTGTAGCATTTAGCAAGTTTACGACTTAGCTACAGTTTAAATCTGAATTTCTAACTTTTGAGTTACGTTCTAAATGGTGGCTCGCTTTGTAAACACAAAAAGTACTTTCTGTTTGATTATCCGAGTCTGTTATATCTTTCTTACATTTCTGTGTGATTAACTAGACAGTGATGGTTATCGTAAGTCTATTAGCAGTCTCGACTTAGTGTATGCTACCTAAGAGTTTGAGACTCTACAAGCTTAAGCTCAAAATTGCATTCAAATATATCATTCAAATATATCATTAGCTATTAATTTTCATATGATTCAAAAATATGAAAGTGGTATGTTTAGCAGGAATTCTAATGACATAAAAATGTTACCTGATATAAAATCTAAATTATGGATTTATGTTTTAAAAAAAGGCTTTAAAGAAAGACACATTGCAAAGTAAAATTTGATTATGAATCTAGTCATTTCGGAATTACGGTTTACAGAATTCAGCATTGCTCAGTTTCGAGGTATCGTTTTGAGGAAAACTCTACACTTTTTTGATTTCTCATAAACTGATTTACAGAAGATTCATCTGAGTTTAGCGTTTTCTAGAGCAAACAAAACAAAGTGATTTAAATCTATGTGAATTTCGCAACTTATTCATTCTTTCAAATATAAGTATTCGTCATTTTCAAGAAACAAACTTATTTCGATCTTGTACTGAGTACTAACCACGACAGAAAAATATTATATGTATATCTAGAAGGAAGGCAAGCCTGCAAAAATCTTGAAAGCGGGCCCCCGATTAAGGCAAATTATCCTTTCAGAGGCGTACCACTCTCAATTTCCTTGTTTCCATGAAAGAAAAACAAGATTATGAAGATTAATTACAGGATGATTTGGGAAGCTTGAAAACTTGTGGCTCTGAGAATAGGCTTTGTGGGTTTAGGTAGTAATCAGGTCCAGCTCGAAAACTACTTCTATTAAAAGAAATGCAAAATCGAGTAGAGGTTTTAATTTTTTTGTGTGAGTGTGCGTTATAAAATTGCAGGGTACTTCTATGGTTGATTAATTACAACTGACTAATACTCGAGGGCTCTCTTGCCTGATGGAATTGAAGGACTGTTACCGTTATAGTGGAGCGCAAAATGAAAATAATAACAGGACAGGAGATCGTAGCAGAAAAAGAGTTCTAGAACGGCAAGCGTAAAAACATCGAGGCTTAGACAGATTATATATATACTAAGACAGTCAAGATTACCAAAAAAAAACTGAAGGAAAATGGATAAAATAGATTTGTTTCTTTTCTCTTTTGTATAAAGATGGATGATTTAGTTGCAGCTTTCTGTTTCAAAGAGTATTCCGTTTTTCTTATTTTAGATAAAGATAGGAATACACATCGATTTGATCTGATTTTTAGGTACTATATATTTAAAGATTTGCCTCACGAAAATGGAACCCAAACTTTTTCCCTTCACTGCCGACTGAAATTGTTCTGCCTTAATTTTTAATTCTGCTCCTTACAATAAAACAAATCGCAGTACACAAAATACGTCTAACTCTTTCATTTAAAAAAGGAGGTTTTAAGAGGCAAGAATGTCAATTTATGTTTTAAATATTGTGCACATAGATTAGCTACAAATCAACTGTAATTACTACCCAGTCATAATTTTTTTAACGTTTTCGTTTTTTCTTTTTCTAGCTCATTGAACTATCTAGCTAACTAACAAATGTTTCCGTTATTGGAATTTTTAGAGTACCGAGACTATAAAGAAAGTTTAGCATTTTGTACTGAAACTTCTTCTTCCAATATTGCAATTGATTTCATAAAATTATGCATATAAATTTAAGAAACTTTGTAACTGTAAAGATGTGCATATAATCAAGATTTAATGAAATATCGCCCTTTTCATATTATCACTTCTTTTACATCTGAAATATTTATAATGGCAGTTCTGCTATGAATTTAATTCCCAGGCATCTTATGTACTTAATTATAAGTATACGTGTTTTGTTAGTGAATCAATAATTTATTTAAATGTAATTTCTTTAACATTTTTAGCCCAAAGGGTTATTAATTTCGTTTTCGCATTTTGCGTTGATTCATTATAAATGTCAGTTCATTTTTCAAATTGCCACCACCATATATTATCGCCGTTTGTTATATTTAAAGAAATTAAATTATGAAGAATCTGCATAAATATATGTATGTTTCTTGCATTGTGATAAAAATCGGCTCTAGCGCCCTTAGCCCAAATTTAGAATTTCGAATTTGTTTTATTATCTCTTTCATATTTTGTAAAACTAACAAATTTTTTATTAGCAAACTCAGCGATTTAAAAGCGAGCAATGGCAACAATCTACGGCGAAAAAACTTTTTATCTCCAGCGCGCGAGACTATGGATTGGAAATTCTAAAGATATGCTCATTTTAAAATAATTTTGCGATATTGCTGTTGAATTGAATTTTATAGTTTGTGTGCAATAAACATGATATTTAATAAATAAAGGTAACACACAAAACGTTAAAAAAAAATCTCTTTGGGCGTACTATAAAATCTGAAAACTTTCAGATTTTTTTATCAATTATACTTTCCTGTTGTAATAACCAGTTATCTATTATGTGAGTTATTAAAAGGAATATATAATCCTTATTGCAAAAATAACACCTGGATTTTTCTATTTTGATTCTGTGATGCTAATGTGCCTCGCTTTGCTTTTATAATAATTTCTTTTAGAATTTGTTTGATTGTTAGCGAAACCTGAAAGAATTTTAATGTTTTAAGTTTAGCACAGATTTTTGCATCAAATAATTAATAATTTGAATCTTTCATGATACATTTGTGGTAATACAATGAAAGACTCTTGTTTATCTGGGACATTTTCATTTTATCAAACGTTCTGCTTAATAAGAAACATAGTATTAAGTCAAATGTATATTTTAATGAGTCCAACAGATAGGCATCATAAGTGATATACAAGTGCATGACTTACGAAATGCTTCTTATTTTTCAACTTACAACTTTGAATAATATTCCTACCCTTCGCACAGTGTAAACTGCATTCCCAACTCTTTCAGATTTTTCTCTATTATTTCAGTAATATACACGCATTTCAAAAGCGATAATAAAGTATATATTTTTTTGTAAAATTAAAGAACATATAACTTTGCAAAATTCCTCGTAAAACATCTGTTCATTAATGACATTTAAAGGTAATATCTTTCACAAGGAAAGCAATTTTAAGCTTTTACCCTTAAGGAGAAGACATATTTCATCAGATTGATAGCCAATTAATATGACATCTAGTTGATATGACAGTTTCGCATATCAAATTTTCAACTCCATAATTACAACAGATGGAAACGATTTGACGCAGAATAGAATGCTACAAATAACAAAAATCAATTTATACTAAAAAAGGTCAGAATAAAAGAAATATTACAGGATTTCATATATAAAGGAATATCAGAGGAGCAGACTTGCAACATAGATTCTGAACACCTTGTACAAGGTAAGAGATGTTCTGTCATTTTCAGCACGTTCTTAGCAGTGTTCATGAAAACCTTGATAGATTTTACGTATACTCCTTAGCACCTTTTGTAGAATCTTTTATTTTTAAGCAGATTTGTATGAAATTCTTAATATATATAGAATCAGCATTAAAGTATCAGTTGACATGTTATATTGCTTAAGTGAAATTTAAAAATGAACTTCTTAACATTTTAGTTAACTTGAACATATTTCACAGTTTGTCAAAATTCTAGTACAACTGTTAGAATATGATGTATGTGAAAGGAAACTCATGACCAAAAAACCTTATAGAGGGTTTCGAATAAAAGATGAAGGAGAAAGTTCTACTCATCTAGGTATGAAAGAACTGTTTATAAAAGATTTTATATTTTTAGTGGCATGCAACTAACTATACCCTAAGCATAAGTTAAAATGCTAGAAATAAAATTTATCAGTGACAACATTTGTGAGAATACCAGCAAAATAGAGTTAACATAATTTCAAAATCTCTACATTTCTTAAAATTTATTATTTATGTTCCTCTGGTTAACTGTAATTGAAGTATTCAGATGCTGATGTTTCTCAACCAAATTCTTCTAAAATGCTACTATATAATTTCTGTACGTACACCATGCACAAAAGAAAAGAAAAAAAGAAGGGATAGTTCTATATCTCCCGCTCTACTGGGCCAACCGACGAAATTAAACTTGCATTTTTCATGTCTCGAAAGTGCGACTTAGGATTTGTATTAAATTTATAGGACTCAAATTATGCCAAACTGCCAAGATTTATCAAAATCACAAGAGTAGTTTTTAAAAAAGTAGCTCTCAAAATTGTAATTCCTCAATTTTAATTGAATATGGTAAGTATTTTTAATACCTCTTTTTTCTTAAACTTGCTGGTTTTCTTCTTCCATAGTTCTAAATTTAGGTTCAAACCAAATAGAATTCGCAGCTATGTTCTGATCTGCTTTAGAAATTTGTATTTTTTAGAAATTTTTAGAAATTTTTCGAAAACAATTTTGAAATGTAACCTACGAAATTTTTCCACCACCTTAAAGTAGATGTATTTTTAAGCATACCTGCAAGAAATTAGAATATTTGTTTTATTTCCGAAGATATACGTGAATTTATATATTAGCGCGTTTTTAAATTTGGGATATTTATTATAACCGATAATAACGCCAAACCTGGTTTACGCACTTTGTTAGAATTGTTTGACAGAATAAACGATGCGCCTTTTAATCCGCTGGTGCGCAATGAAAGGGAAAGCAAATTAGTTACCATAAATTAAGAATCTCGTATATTATTTTCGTATATAATTTCGTATTTATTCTTGACGTAAACTGAAAACAATTCTCCCAAAACAAACTGCAAAATTTCTTGGCAAGTTTCTCATCAAACTTTACTAAGTATTTAGGCATAATTTGAAAAAAAATCATTATATCATTCCAAAGAAAGTCCGATTTTGTGTTAGAATACCAATGGTAGAACAATGCTATATATAAATCTAATATATATACTAAGTCGCACTTTCAGGACATGAAACAGCGCAAGAAACGCAATTTAAATTTCATCAATCGACACAGTAGAACGGCAGATATGAAACAGTCTCTTTTTTCTCTCTTTTTCTTTTATTTTGCGAAAGGTGTACCCATAAACTTTGGAAAACTTTCCTAATTGCATTACAATTTGCTTCAACATGCTGTTAAAACACAAAATTTCTTTCAGCTTAAAAAAGCAACATTTGGCTGATCCCATATTTTCTCTTATTTAAAACATTTCAGTGTTTTAATCTAAATATTTCCTAAAACTATTTGAATTCTTTATACTAGGTTTTCAATCAGCATGATATTTAAATCCAGTCTTGCTGAAAGTTCAATAAAAAGCTAAAAGGGCAATATAATTTCTTTTAAATAATATTAAATTTATTTATGTATTATTTATAATATACAATAAAATGCTTACAACTTTTTCAAAGAAGATGTTACAAAGAACAGCTGTAGTCTCTAGATGTAAAGCGAATAATTTTGAGAAATTTTAGTACTGTTTTACAGTTCAAATTACTATTTATCGAATCGGAACAAGTGTTATTTAAGCCTGTTTAAGATTCATCCTGCACTTACGTGACCTGCTTAAGACTCATCCTGCATTTACGAGAACATTGTTTTATTAAATTTATTTTTCATGTGTGTTTCTTTAGAAAAATTTCTCTGTAGAAGAACTCGCCAGAATTTCACTCTGCTGAAAGAAGTGAGGGAAAATGGAGATAATCCCAGGATTTCTTAGTCACGCTTTCGTCCTTTTCTTTGCATTGAACTATGGAAGTGCTTCTCTATCTTTAAATATATTTGGATGGCAAAGTAACCCTAATGATACAGGTTTGCACTTTTCCTTCTTTTTTCGAAAAAAAATTAAAACTGATTGCATGAAGACACCAATAGCTTTACTAAAATGTTAGAGAACTGTTTAATTGTAATCTTTTTATTTCATTTATCATCTTGGAGATTACGTTTGCTTAACATACCATGTAAGTGGTTAAGTTAAATGCTTATACATTTCGTATTGTAAAATCGTTAGAATTCACAGAGCAAACAACTTGAAAATAAGTAGAAACACACCCGCTCCCGGGATTTGAACCCGATACCTTCAAGTTGTTAGGCATTATCTTTATAAACAGATTTTAAAATACTATCTTAATGCAAAAACATTTTATATGTATATATGTGGCAAAACATTCCATATAAATATTACAGCATTAAGATTTGGGAATTTTTTCCAGATTATTCCCTCTAATTGTTTGGCAACTTTAAAATTGTTCAATATCATCTCATTTACATATTTCTAAATAATATAACGTAAAACAAAAATATTTAAAGTATTTATAATAAAGATTTCTAGTAAAGGATTTTTTAATCATTTCAGATCCCAAAATTCCAGAACTCCTTAGTTTAAAATGTTTAAATGAGTTACAGTAAAATGGCGTGTTATCTGAATAACATTTGTATATAAAAATGCATATATTACAGTTCATCCAACAATTAGTCAAAATTTTCAGAATCGTTTATCTTTTTGCTTAACATTTATATAAAATAAAGTGGTATAAGGTATTTTCTCCCTTCTTTCTGAATGCCTTCGTGGTGTAACGATAGCATCCTCGGCGCGTATTCGAGAGGTCCAGACTCGAGTCCCGGTGCGGGCAGTGCACATTTTTTCGCGTCTCCCCGCATCAAAAATCCTAATGACATTACAAGGGAGCAAAGTAAAACCCTTAAAACTACAAATTAGTTCTTCATTTATAAACTAAACTGAATTTCATTTTTGGCATAAAGGGTTTCTCATAAACTGGTACAGTGAACAATATTGCTATTAATGGAATGGCATTTCCTTCCGTGTTATTAAACATATGTTAGCAGTTATTCAAGAAATGATAAGTTATTTTATTAAACGGGAAAATTTCGTGAATACTTTAATGAAAATTAGAGAGGGAGATAATACTTCTCCGTGTGGATAACAGAAAGATTATGCAAGGCATGATGCTTGGGTCCCTGCGACTCATACCTTAGAACCTAAGTAGTCTGGAATCTCTGCTTGTTTCCACTCCTCTTCTTTCGACGCGCTCCTTTTCGTGCAGTTCAGTAGGTTATCAATCATTCTGAAATTTAACTTCTTTTTTTTCCAAAATTTAGTCTAAGTCCTGAAGAGAGGACACCGTTGCTTCTACTTTTCAGTAATGCGAAAAGTTTTTTTTTAGATTTACGCATTATAACATCATGCATTCCCTTTTATCTATCGATCTCGTTCTGTGTGTTTAACATTTCGTGCACATTTCTGAAACCTGCTTCACAGAAAATTATTTCATGTCCACTTTGATTCTCTGGATAAAATGGCCGACTTTTCCTAAGAGAGATCCACGTGAAGACATTCCATTTGTTAGGTAAACAGTCTTCTTGTGTTTAGGGATAATTAATTAAAATGAAACTAAATTAATATCTTAGTCTGAATCTCATCAGCAACCGCCACTATTGGCTAAACATTATACGCTTTTTTTCAGTTAATGGAGCACATTTCTGCTTAGAACGTTCTCCATCACTCTCAGATATTTTCATTTGGATATTTTACGTTGAATTTCTTCCAAAACTTTGTTAATGAATTTTTTACCACGCCTATCTGGAATTTCTTGGTCATTTTTAAGTGAAATTCACTCCGTGCCACAAATAAAAGAAAAAAATTAAAGGGAAAAAGGCTTCATTTTATTAAATCACCTTAATATGAAAAGCGGGTTAAACAAGAAATTGTAATGAGTTTTATCATTCCTTCTCGCGTTCCTTTGGGAAGTAAATTAAAGTAAACCCACCTAGAAATCGGAAGCACCAAAGTTCGAATTTTGCAGGGAAGATTGTTGATTTCTCTTGTTTCCTACTCCAAAATAAATTTAATGGCTGCATAATTTTCTCATCTCATGGTCTCAGACAATAAACATCTAATATTATCCTTTCATTATCACACTCTGTTTATTTAAGGAAGAAAAAAAACATGCTATAAAAGAATGCAGATTAGATCTGTTATTCAGTTTCTAAAAGAGTTAATGTCATTTGCCCTGATTGGTTTCTTAAGTATTCACAAGTAGCCAAACGTTTAATTGTTTAATTGTTAAATTGTTTAAACGTTTAAACTATGACAAGTTACGTTTAATTGTTTTACCTTTCATTTATTGCACAAAATACATTTGATGTATTCGGTGTCCAAACACTGATTAGGGATTCATTTCATATTTGCAGGGATTTCATTTGCAGGGATTTCATTTTCAGATTTCATATTTGCAGGGATTCATTTCATATTTGCACTGATTAGGGATTCATTTCATATTTCATCATTTCATATCATTTCATATTCGTTAATATGTTAAATGTTTCTTTCTTTAATCCCCCGGGGGTCGTTAATTAGGCTGGCTGTGATGTATATTTTACAGTCTCGACTCTAAGGGCACAAAATACATAAAATGGGTTCTTAACTTCCACCTATCCAGGCAGGTAGTTTGCCGGCCAGACACAAAGACGTTAGTTCATTTATCTCTTCCTATCCTCAGAAATATGCTTCCTGTAAAATAGGTTGAGGATGTAAAATAAGTAATGGCTTCGGGACACATTTAGAGTTCCGATAAGAAGTAGAGCTGTAAAAGTCTTAATAACAAGCAGAGTTGTGAAGGTTGGCCGTGTAGTAGATTGTTTAAGTTTCAGAGCACGTATTACGATTCTTACCTTTATATTAATTTGTTAAGAGTTCGCTATGTTTATTTCCCTTACCCTAAATTGTATATGGCAACGTTCGTTGAGAATTCTTCTATAGTTTCGCTTTAAAAATATGTCTAACTCAAATCCAAAATTCTTAAGAAACTCATGTTTAAGTTCTACCTATAAGCCTGCAATTTTCGTGTAAATTACCTCTTTAAAAACGTACCCCTTTCTGTCATCAAGCTATGATTATTCATTTATTCGTATTCTGCCAACTCTCCGAATCAAATGTAGATGAAAGTCCATAAAATAGTCTATTTAAAAGGCTAAAATAATTCATTTAGAAGCTAATACAGTGGTTCCCAAATTGTGCGCCGTGGCCCCCCAAAGAGCTGCGCCTCTTAACAGGTGCACCGCGAAATATTGTAAAAGCAGTTATATTTGAACCAAGACATTAACCCTAACAAAATAATAATAATAATAATAAAGCTAGAAACATCTAGATACTTCGTGCGGTTTGTTTTCACTTTATCCTGTATAGAAATAAAGTCGCCAGCGCAGAATATTCTTGCAAACGCGAGCCGGCAACGCCGCGCTTCCTCGATCGTTCTAAGTGACCACACTATATCTCACGACAGTCTAACTTGAGAAGACGTACAAGGCTAGAACGACCTTTTCACGGCTTAATCCGTAAAAAATCCAGTGAACTTTTCTTTGTATTGTTGCTAAAGTTAGCTCATCATGTCGTTTGATTCAGGTTTGCGTGTACCGACATTCAGAGGTCATTCTCCCCCCCGAAGTCGAAAATCCAGCATTTTGTTTTAGGTTGGATTTCATGCCAATATTTCTTGTAGCAGAAACGCCAGTCAAATCAGCAACAAAAGCAGCAATTTCGTTACCAGATTTATTAGGAAAATGCTCCCAAAATTTGACAAAAGCATTCATAAGATAATCTTAGAGGAACTGCGCAGTGATTTGCCAGCTTTGTAAGGTTTTGAATATAAAATTCTTTTCTGACAAATTTGAAAATGAACATTTTAAATTAATTGTAAGTTATTTTCATAATTTGATTTTTTTATAAATCTGATGCTTTTAAAATTGTTAAAAATCATATCCTTACGTATGATTTTGAACGTTTTAGGCAGAGAAATCTGTATGAAAGACCTTGGCTGTTTTTCATTAACAAGTGATTTCATCAGTTTTCAGCATAGACCTATAAGTATTTTGCCAAATGATAGAAGCACCATTAATACACGATTCCTTCTGTTTACCAAAAAAAACGCTAAAGAGGAACAACTTTTGGTGGCGAATAATGCTCAGTCTATAAATGACTCATATTTAGACCCAGAGAAACCTGTAAAATTTATTGTACATGGTTTTATGGACAGTCAACTTTATGGACCCTGGATGGTGGTAATTATTGTTATAATTCATTTTTGTACTAAATTTAATATGCATTCAATTAATTCTGAACAATATTAATTTCTTTAATGATATGACATGGAAACGTACGATGATATTTGCATACTAACTGAATTCTATCCAACATAAGCTTTATCATAGTTTTCTATTTTTGTTTATTTTAGACTCTACATGCGAAACAAGTTCTTCTAAAGTTCTTCCACATTTTTATGATAACATGTAACAAAGTAAAGCCAATAGTATTCCTTTCACTACTGGTATTTTTAGTATGACGCACTTTTGGGGCAACAAAGAGTTTTAAAATATCAGATTACACATGCCAGCGTTCTGAATATTAAATTTCACTTAATCAATTAAGTTGTTATTAAATGCTGTCGGTTAATTTGTTTCTCAAAGTAACGGATGAGCTTGAAAAGACATATCTCGCTTCATATTTTGTAAATTAACATAATGTGGGCATGCGAAAGAAACAAAAATGCATGATTTAAAGTTAAGCTTAATCATTTAAATTTTAATTAAAGGAAATCTGTCATAGATTCACCACCATATGAGGGCTCTGTAAATAAAGACTAACTTCTACCTGGACCATGTTGACCAAAACGTCCATCTGTTGCAATGTTTATCATATATTTTTAACTAAAATAAAAATATATTTCAGGCCGTTACATGTAAAATTATAAGAAAAATTGAAAAATTATGTAATGACTTACTTTTCAAATGACAAATAAAAAAATGATACAATGCTGTTCAAAATATGATGTAAGGATCACTTTGCAGTGACTATTACGGAGCAAAATGTAAGACAGCTTGGTGACATTTAAAGAGCATTTTTAAAATAAAAGTTGCTCCATTTGGTGATTCCTATTTCGCATTTAGTAAAATAACACTATCATTAAATTTACAGCTGGCACATAAAAATGTTAATTGCATGAATTTTTACAAATGAAATGAAACTTTCGCACGTAAAAATATGGAACTTTTTATATTTAACTTATTAAAGCATGATGAATATTTTGTTAAATAGAGATTTTTTCCTATAGATATAATATAAAAAGTTACATTTTATACGAGCAAAATATTCCCACCTGCAGTATTAAAACTATTTTCCTTAAATTAATTTTTTTGCTCTGAGGAACTTTATAATTAAAAGTAACGATTAAAATAAATATTTAATTAAATAATATTTACAAGCATCTTTTCTCGAAACTCCCACATATACTGAGTTTCAGATTCTTATATTATGTGAAATCCTATATATTCTGATAATAACAAAATAAATTATCCATCAGATGCCGCCCAGACGGTATAGTGGTTAGGGGAGCCTGATTGCGATACCGAAGGGCCTAGGTTTCGAATCCTGGAGAAAGTATGGTTGTAACTGTCCGTCCCTTCATAGGAGGGACGGACACTATTAGGTGTATGTACACTAATATTCCTATGACTCCTATTAGGTGCCTCTATAATAAAGAGACCACCAAATCTGGCCTTAGTATAGATTAATGGACTCTGTTACAAAAGCGTAACTGTTCACAATCTGCCATTGGAAAAAAAATCCCTCAGAATCCCTCAGATGTAACTAAAAAAGGAAAACTAGTGTTTAACATGCTTCTAAATAGATAAACAGAAGTATAGTTGTAAAGAAAATAGTCATAAAAAAGCATAAAATTTGGAAATTTTTGTTGTTTTAAAGGACAAGGTTTAGACAAAAAAAAAACTGAAATAGTATAACTCGAAATATTATTCACTTCTGGTCGGAAATCTGAATGATCTTAAATTCGGTCAGTTATGGCAGTGTGTAAAATTTAATTTTTTGCAGTATTGTTCTACAATGATATTGAGCTTGTGACATCGAATAATCACAGCCACATTTATCAGCAGTTTTAGGAGGGCTGAGCCTAAGTTCATGAAAAGTAAAATTTTTTGTCTTGTTAAAGCAAAGCCAGAATTGATGATAAGAACAACACAAGAAATGTCAATAATAGATTTATGACAGAAATTATGTACAAACTTACCAGAGCTACTAATACTAATTTTATAGCTCATAATTTAATTTCCGAGAAAGCTGTAGTGGATTATCAGAGGTAAAAGAATTTTTGGAATGGTGTTAGTGTCTGTAACTTTGCATATTCTTTCGTCTGTCATGAAGCTGCCACCAGTAGAAGACATATGAGATTTCTAAACACTACTCTGTACATCTCCATCAAATATGTCACTACAGATTGGTTTTCATCTTTGAAGAGTGTACGCCTCAATGCTCATATGCAGCGATTGCTTGGACAACGCGAGTAGTAAATAAGCTCTAATTTTTAATCATGTGATGCAATGTATGCTCTTTCTAACGGCCCATGTGATGCAATGTATGCTCTTTCTAACGGCCCATGTGAATGTTCAGTTTCGCTATTTTTCCGATGTTCGGTGTTGTGATTTTCCCCGTAACTTTCTACAGTAACTTTTGACTCTTTTCTTCTTCACTGACCCATAGAGATTTCCAAGCAAGAGCAATAATTCAAGAAAAAAAGAAGAGCTAAGCTCCGAGCAAATAAAATTCTGTTAGGTCTGAAAAACATATCAAGAACTGAAACTTAACATATATGAAAACGCCAAGCCAAGATTTTACTTTCGCACATACTAGACCTTTTCAATATGCAAGTTTGAATTTTTAAAATTCATTCAGCAAATAGCATTGAAGAAATTTACTTCCTAGCTACAGAACATTCTTAACAGGAACTGAATGTCGACAAAGTTAAAATATTTAAAACATTTAATTGAGAAATACTTTCAAGCACCGTAAATACATCACTGTACTTGTGTGTGAAATTAGAGCCAACTTTTTTATAGTTTCATGCACAATCAAATTAATCATTTAATTGAAATTAGATAATTGATTTAACTGTCAAAATTATTTGCAACTGATATTACTCTCGTCGTTTAGCAACACATTATTTATAAGCTTTTCAAATGTGTCTATTTTCTCAAATTATGCTTATTCGTTTCTTACAGAATTTAAAAGATGAGTTGCTTATGTACGGTGACTACAATATCATTATTGTCGACTGGAGTGGAGGAAATCTTCCACCATATTATCAAGCCACATCAAATACGAGAGTCGTGGGAGCAGAAATTGCTTTCCTACTTAAAGCTTTAAACGTGAGTGCTTTTATTCATAAACTGGAAAATTTTAAACATAGTACTGTATTTGTCAAAATTTGTGCATGAATATCTTATGTTTAGCAAATGTCGAAGAATCAAAATACTTTGAACTTTATTTCAGTTTAAATTGTCTGTGGATAAGCATGTGTGTTGTGTGTGTGTGTGCGTATATATAAAACTCCTTGAAGTAAAAAATGCGAAAATGGACCTTCAAAACTAAAATTTAGCACTAATGCAGCTAAGATAAATTTAATATTAATGGAGAGTTTTCGGAAATGTCTGAATTAAAACTATTGTAGTTAAAAACGTTTCTAAACTTCGAGCAAATTCGAAGCTGACGATAAAGTTTTCTTGTAAGCTTGGAAATATAATAAAATAAATAAATTTGAATTCATTAAGCGTAAATATTACTAGATTACTCATATGAACGATGAGGACGAAGCACGAACAGATCACTTTAATTATTGATAATTTTATCCAGAAAGGCTAATACCCTTTGAAAAATCAGCATTTATCCATGAAATCTGTGATAATATTTTTTTTTTAAATTTTTCTACTGCAGTTTTACTGTACCTAATTTCTACAATTAAAATAATTTTAATTACAGTATATTTAACTCTGCATTTGATGTAGAGACCATCTCTCTATGTAAATGTATATATATATGTATATGTAAATGCATATATATGTAAATATCTAGTATGTGTGCATGTAGTTTCTGTGTAAATGTATGTATGTATGCATATATATATATATATATATGTATGTATGTATGTATATTAATGTTATAAGATAACTTTTTTGTTAAAAAAAGATTATACTATCATGGAAGATGCAAAAACTACTGTGAAAGAAGAACGTTTAGCAAATAAATCAAAGAATGAGACAATTTTATCCTCCAATCGACCAATCCAAGTCTCAGCGAATTATTTATAACATATCTTAATTTAGGTAAGTTGAAACGAAACTAAAATTTGTTATTTATAACCGAATTTCTCATGACAAAATTGGCTCAAAATGCATATAAATTTAGCTTAATTTTAATGAACAAATTCATCTTTTTTTAACTCCAAGCAAAACTTAAGAATTTTCTTCTGTTTCTTCATTTCATTGTCCCGTTCTCTCAATAAAACTTCTAATGCAAAAGATAATATCTATGTTTTTGATTACAAGCAAGAAAACGCTTCAAGCGCTCTTTATTTTTTATCCACCATGGTAATTTCTGTCTTGAATCCTAGACTTTCATTTGTCACCCTTCAAAAAACAAAATTTGATACCATCACACTCATGAATATCTTGCGCGTCATATTTTGCATTGACTGGCTTTAACTTGGCTGCCCGTTCATCAACAGTCCCTTCGAAATGGCGGCAAGATCATATATCCAGCTTATAGCAAACGATACCGAACCTTCAAACCTGCTACTACTCCACCTGCTTATAGTCTCTAAGACAAACTATTCACTTGTGAAGATTCCGACTAGTACTTCCAACCGACTAGCATTTCCAACCTTTCTAATGAGCATATTTAGGGACCTAATGTCTTTTTACTGTGAAAGTAATATTTCGTCAACTTCAGAAAAAACGGGATCAAGAAACGTTTTCTGATTTTCCTTCATGGTGCTTCATTTTCTCCCGCGCTCTCAAAATATCGGAAAGCATTATAGGTTCTATAATAACCTCCTTTTTCATACTGCATTTATCATAATCTTCCAACAGATTTATTTTTTCTTAAACGGTAAAACTTTATATTTCCCTCTCCATGTTGTACGCATATATAAAAGCTGCTTGTTAAATTTCTGCCTCGAATAAAAACCAGAACGTAACAAAACGGCAATATTGAAATAAATCTAATGCAATAAATATATCTTGTATGGAATACCAAATGGAATATCAAAATACGCACACACAGACACACACGCATATTTATACTCAAAAGTCATCAGTGAAAGCTTCTTGAAAAGATTACAAAACCAAAGTTTAAAACTAAGAGACGAACGGCAAAATTGCTGCAGGTTTGAAAAAAAATGCAATTTTTTTAAAAAAGGGAGAGGAAATAATTGTAGCTTAAATTCAAGTTTACATTTCCTATCGCATGAAGGTTTTAATTTTTCTTTTATCTCGAAGAAAGTCGTACCCAATGGTAGTACATGAAAAATTAAAATATGGAAAGCATTTCATATTAAAATGAACAAAATTAAATATTAATCTTCTCAGTTCAAGGCTTCAAACAGAACTACACAGACGCACATATATAGTATGTGATGTATAAAATTTGTTTTGCATTAACCTATGAGAAGAAAGGAAACTAAATCACATACTCAAAATCACCGTAAATTAGTTTTCTTGCAATCTTAGTTAAGGTATGGTCAGTCTTAGTTACGTTTTTCTCTGTTGGATGTTTGTGTGTAAAATAAAAAAAAAATCATTCATGGCCTTTAAATAGACCTTTATCAGAAAATAAAAGTGATAGATAAATAAATAATAAAAGTGATATCTTGGCTTTTTTATATCTGAAATGTACCATCACTATTTTTGTAAGCAACAATAAAATCGCTCTGTATTTTAACATTATTCTAATCGATGTTTTTTACGGAACATTTCTTATAACATTGCCTTTTACAATGGCATTCAACTGTATGTGTATAGAAAGCGAAAATACTTCTAAATTAAGCTTTTATTTTTCATATATGACCTAGCTTCTTTCAGATGCATACGCCTGTTTTATGTTGGTTGGAGATGTAAAGTCGATGAAATAGCTACAGTTCATAAAGTGAAAAAAAATACATGTTAAAACTTTTCGCAGAGAATGATAGATCGACTAGTTTCATAATATAATGGATTAATCCGAATAAACCTAATACAAGTCATTTTTGTATTATATAAATTTAAACCATATCAAGATTTATAAAGAATTAAAAAGAAAAAGAATTATCAAGCCATTAATAGTAGAATATAGAACGATATTCAAAATTAGAATAAGAGTTTCCTTCCTTTTGTCGAACATATATATTATATTTTTGAGTTAATGTTTCAGGATATGTAATGTACAAAATATGTTTAATGTCGTTTTACATTAATGAGAAATGCATATAGTAGGAAAAACATTACTTCTGAATACATTACTTTCATATCCCTGCAAATCAAATGATATTATTCTCCTTATCTTCTATAAATTTAAATATCGTTTCGCAAAATAACAAATATTGTCATAAAAAGAAGCTCATTAGAAAGAAACAAATTAGTCGTCTTTCAACATTTAACATCGTAAATAATACATACTTAATTTTAATAAATGCGGTAATTCCTGAATTTTTATTTTTCGGAGTAAAAGGAAAACTTCATAGCCAAGAACTGTCAAATATAAGAAAATTTTGTCATTTCGTAGCAAATATTAGTTAAAGTTCTAAGCATGAAAGCATCTGAAATTATATGAATTAAGAATAGGAGTGTTCTCTGAACAGGTAATTCGTGTTTTGCTGCTTTTTCTATAGCAGATTTTTCCCCACAGAGGGAATTTAAATGTTTCTAAAAAATCTGCGTATATAGAGGGTCAGAATATTTTGAAAAGAAATTACTCTTCTCTGAAACTGTCCAGAATCAAAACCTTTGAAAATGAGAATCTACAGTGTAGAAATTCTTACACTGCAAGAATAGGTATCGGGTTTACTTTAGAAATCGCTGAATCTGGCTTTGAGCTGACTTTAAATTCCTGAGCGTAAACAGAAATCATTCGTAAGATGAAAACAAGTCTTGAAAAAAAACTGAAGTTCACAATAAATTCATATACAATATTCAGACCACTGTGCGGCCTATCCCATATTTTATTACTTTCTAAGATTTGTAGTGACACAGAATTATTGCTTTATCCTATCAAAAGACGCCTGCTTGCTACTGGTTTTAAAGACTACATATTCTCGACTTCTCATTATATCAGCGGGCGAAAACGCATCATTTTATGTATTCTTAATTTACTATACGTTATCCCAGGGACACGTGTATGTAATTTCTTTAAGCTTATTTCTTTTCCAAGCAGGCATTCACCATCAATAAATGTTTCCGTCATGAATCTTCAGTTTGGCACATTTGTTCTAAAAATCTCAATATTCGCCATACAGGAATCCGTCCCCCAGCTTCTAATTATAAATTCAAACTATTCATTTCATGTGTATTACTTCATACATTTCAGTCAGATAATTTAGATTTCATATCTCAGAAAACAGCTCATATCAAATTATTTCATGACTTTAAGCTAATGTGTCTTTATTTTTGCCAAAAGGATGAAATTTAATTTTTTTCAAAACTGCAAACTTTTTGCCATATACGCAGTTTTACATGCATACATGTTCATATATCATCCTAAATGTTTAAAATTGCCGGAAACATTCTTTGTCATAGTCGCAAGTGTAAAATGAAGCTCTTTTGTTGAGAATTATACTGAATACATTCAATAACTCATACAGTATTTTGTACATTTATTTAAACATCCACTTTATAATAATATATTTTTAGTCTCTTAATAAGAATCAATGGACAATGCTCTCAATTAATATATAAATTGACTATATACCTACTAGATTCGGTATTTTCTCTTTCAGAATTATAAGGGAATCCAACCAGAAAACTGTCATATCATTGGTCACAGTCTTGGAGCTCATGTTGCTGGTTACGCTGGACAAATATTGGGAAACCTCGGAAGAATTACAGGTATGTTATGTGAAACCTAATTATGTGGCTATTCACTGCTACATCAGTACAGCTTATGTGACAGAAAATGCTCTGAAAGAAAGGTTAGGCAAAAGATTTCCTAAATATGATTTTAAAATGGCACGAATAAACATCACTATCAATATAAATATCATCACTGTAAATAAGAAAGTCCTGTGTGTTTGTTCGCTAATAACTCAGTCACTACTGTTGCTATTGTCACTAAGCTTTCTACAATTCTTTTTGGGTCCTGGAAAAGGTCAACGTCCACTTTTTCAATTAAAACGCTAATTTTCGCCCTCATTTTTTCCGACTGGGTACACTGCTAATATCATCAAAAATGGCAAGAGTGATATATCAGCGACAATGGCTGTGTGCCATTGTTGCTGATATAATGAGAGAGAATTAGTTCATTTTTCTATTGAAAATTTTATATGGGTTTCCATATCGCTCAAAATAATTCATTTTTCTCAAAATAATGATGTATTTGTTTTCATTTTTGCTGACCCAAATGGATATTTCATATGTCTTATGGGTATATATACCATATGATTCTATGATTACGAAGTCAATTGTGATACATGTATCGAATATTACTTTGTTTCTTTGGTATTTTAATGCATCACAATGGCGCATCATATTCCTTATGACGTGTAATATGCTATTATACGAATTTTTAAATGACGTCATGAGTAAAATAATACATTAATTTCAATCTAACTTAACTGGCATCAAGTACTTCTGCTAGTATCATAATAATACTAGTTCAGTGTAAAATACCAGTTCAGTGCTTAGGTACGGTTTATAATAAAAGGTTTTTTAATTCTTAGATTAATAACTTAATAGGTTAGAGTGGAAATAAAATTGAAACAAACAATCCAATTAGTTGACAAGCCTGCCGAGTGGCGAATTAACACCGCCTCTTCAAGACGGAGTTTGGAGCTAAGAATCGTTGTCCATACTCTTACCTTGAGTCGATATCAAAACTATAATTACCAAACTAATGTATTGACCATAGTTTTGTAACAGATGGCAAGCGAAAATGCTTTAGTTCAATCCTGAGAAAATGAAGGACAAAATTTCTTTGCAGCTGTCTAACTAACTAAGCCCGCCTGCTTCTTCTCAGGGTCAGATACCTAGGTGACGTGGAGTTGTCCCTTAATAGTGCTACCACCTTAAAACGGACCGATATTTTTGTCTATACTATATTACCTGTAGCCAATATAAATTACTTAACTTCGAAATTTAATCGCTTATTACACTATACAAGATTCCTGCAAATTATTGATATGGTTTCGAATTCCTATCATTTCCAGATTATAGAAGATCCGTGTTCTTGGCCTTCAAGTGACGAAAGAAAGACTCTGAAATGTTTTAATTCCCACATGCAAACTCTTTCAATCTCTGTTTTAAGTAGCATTTTATGGTTTGTACTAAATCCTTCCTCTATTTCTGCTTCTTCCATCAGCTGCCTCAAAAAAGGAAATTATATTAGTTTTATATAGAAACTAAAATACTACAGCGAGAGTTAGCAATTCAGACACAGGTACTGCAGCTTTCATAATTCACTTGCTTGGGTAGCTGTGCCAATGTCGTTAAGATCTGAATTTTGCAATATTTAAGTTTAAAAGGCATGGTTAATTAAATTCCTAGATATTAGGTATTTCCTTTACTAACTCTCTTTTGCTTGTTGTATTCAAATCACCTTGCAAGGAATAAGCAATGATTTGTTTAGTTAAATTTTACTCGCAACTGCAAACTAGAAATATACTTTGAGCAAATAAACTTAGAGTTATATTTTACTACTATTATATTTAAAATAGCATTCTTGGATTCTAAATTAAATGTAGGACGATAATTCATCTGAAATCTAAGAGGATTAAACGTGCGTTAGCTAAGTGTAAATTAGGTTTAACCTTACATTTTTGTAATATATTGCGTAGAGAAGTGAGTTATATTTTCAAATTGGCCAATAAGCACCAAAAAGCATTTTTTTTGTAAAACATAAATGCTACTGTATAAATATAAATCGTTTATCCATTGCTAATACTGATGGTGATATTTGATCTAAACTCTTATAAATCCATTACGCCACCTGATCATTCTGCGACGGTATCAACAATTTAAATGTAATGGTTGCCTGTGTAAAAGCAAGAGCTCCGGAAGGCTAGGCCTTTCTAAGGAAACAGTGCAAACAACGATAGAATTTCACGTACAGCCCAAAATTTCAGCCAGTCGTTTCCCCAAGTACTTGGTATTCCGCGTCAATCATTTGAAAGATCTTGCAACGGCTGTTACAATTTAAACAAAGTATTTGCAAATGCTGTAACATTTCAAACAGTTGTTATGTGACATGATTTTATCAAAAGCTACGAATTTTGTAGCATTGCAAGTGAATGATATTGCCTTACGTCTATTATTCAGTGATGAAGCGCCATTTCATCTTTGAGCTATGATAAGGCCGTCTCAGAGTCTTGGTAAAGTAATAAAAAATATCATGTTGTCGTTGAACGTAACTAAACACCTTTTGCTCCATTCCATATTCAAAGCTGTTAGAGCCGTTTCTCGTTCGAGAACACTGCTGTAATTAAGATACCGTTCTAATGAACCCATCAAATATAAGGCGATTCATAAAATTTCATATCCCAACAAAATGGGGTTCAACCTCATTGGCGCAATGGCAGTCATTGATACTTGAATAATGAGATCCTATATCATTGTTTTGGTAGGCATATAGAAGATGAATTTCACATACCTACCTATGTATGTTCAATGTTTACATGTCCCCACTGATAGCAATATTATAGTAATTTCAGAAGTATACTGTAACTGCTTTGGTGACCATAATCAATGAAATGTTGCAAAGCATAAGAGAAAAAAAGTTGGAATACCACTTGCACGTGTGTTGTGTAACAAAAAGAGCATGCATAGACCATTTATAGTGCTTTGATGTTATGAATAAGATTTTAAAGATATTTACTTCATTTCGTGTGACGTATCTTTTTTTACTAGCAATACTTCACGAAATGTAACGTTTTGAAGCAGACGCATCATGTGTTTTAACTCTGTATTACATTAATACAATTTATAAACATTCAACGTAACTTATGTTTACCTATTTAAGTCTTCGAAAAAAAGTAAAACAGAGAACAAAATAGCAATTTATATATTTGTAAAGAATGAGAGCGTAGTTCTAAATTCATCGTCAAAAACTAATGCCAAATACAAATTGCAAATCAAAAGTTCTTTAAAAAAAATTTCTTGACCAACCTTTTTAGTGATAACGTATAGCTGTTAGGCTACACATCAAAATAATCGTCTTATTAAAATTTGAAACAGAAAAATATCTAAAATCATTTAACTTATATCAACATACTTGAAAACTCTTTTTTAATATTCCCTATAATAAGCAGCCGAATAGCTGCTCACAATTTTGTTACGCCAGGACTGATTTTTGACTGCAATGATTATTACAAAACATTCCTCAATATTTCCGAACTTTTTCATAAATAATTAGCTATGTAAAAAATATGATATGCATATTGAATATATCCAAGAGCATACCTTACATAAAACATTAATTGTTTGTTAAACCTAAATTTTTATACATAACAACACTGAAATTATTAATTAGCATTAAAAAGGCAATAGAATATTTACAAATCTTAAAATATTTAAGGCTTACTAATTCAAATCTAACGTGTTTAAAAGAATAAAGCTAGAAGTATAATAATAAATATGAGATGCAACAGTAATTATTCTTACAGAATATTATTCTGAAAACCTGTTCATGTGGATCTCTTAATAGAGAGATCTCAGGAATGAGATTGTTGCAAGAAAGGCATGATCACAAATGCTTTACCTATCCTTATAGCATTTACTACGCTATTATTATAGCATTAGAAATCATACGTTATCTGCTTTAAATGGTTGTCTGGTCGGTTAATTATTAATTAAATTAGCTGCGGCAGAACATATGACGGACATCTGCCGATGAGACTACCTTAATAGAACATTTTCTACAGGAAACTTACACTTCGTTACGCAAGAGAAAGCCTACTTGTATCACTCATAGGTTAATTTCTTCCATTCTCATCTTGATAGTTTTTTTATACCGGATTACTAATCAAATAATTTTTATTATTAGGTTGTGATCCTGCGGAGCCATACTTTCAGAACATGCCTGCAAGTGTGAGATTAGATCCTACTGATGCTGACTTCGTCGATGTTATCCATTCCGATTCTACAGACATCATGTTCTATGGTAAATCGTCATAACGCCAATCAATGTGTAAAACAAAATTTAAAACTTTCATTATATATGACACAGTTTCATACGAAAGCAATCATACGCCCATTTATAGTACTCATTAAGATTACCTCCCAAGTTATGTTCGATAGTGCATATATTAACGCTCTAAACGCTTTCTGTAAACATAGAATACCATCAACCAAATTAAATCGGTACCTTACATAGCAGTTGTCGTGAGAATCAACTTTACATAGTTACACAGCTAGTGTCGTGTAGTATGCAGGGAAAGATTTATCGGAGCTTGCAGTTTTAAATAGTGAATAATCTTGCATAATCTTAATAATAAACCAGTAAACTTATTATGATTATTTCGAAGATATTTGTGTTTTACAGATTACGTAATTATAAAATCAGATATTATTTGCAACACGCTTACACATTCACTAGACATTATATGTTATATACTAATGAATTTTGATATCTAAAGAGGTTTTATTTATTAGAAATCAACTAAATTCAGTATCTTTTAAATAAATTAGTAGCCAAAATGTAACAGCTGAATAAATAAGCACTAATGATATTTATGCAAAGAACAAGTTGATAGAATAAAACCCTCGAATTGAAACAAAAATAAGTTAGTGCTGATCACAACAATCAATTACAACACTAATATTAGTATTGTTTTTTCAATATTTTAAGCAGCAATAACTAAACGTTTATAAAGGTTTTACCTGTTTCTCCTGTATTTTCATCAATAGTGAGAGACGTATCCTCAATAGCGTAGCATTTCTTCTTCCAATGAAATATCATTTACGTAGTTTCACCTACATTAAATCATAAAACATTTACATTAAATGCATGCATTGTAAGTATGTGCGTTAATAGTGTATGCTATTAAAATCTTTCGCATAGTGAATACGCCCCTACTAAATAATATTTTAAGTGAAAATTGCATGTAAAACATGTAATTTTGCGGATTCAATAATCCACAAAAATTTGTATTGAAGAATATTTTTAACAAATTTTTACAAAAGTTGAAATAAATTATAGAGTAAAGGTAATGCATGTCAAACTTTTGAAAGTGTGTGAAACGTACTGAACTTTATTAACAATATTGCTCTTTTTTCTAAACGGGAATGCAAACAGGCGTATAAAGGCAAGATGACAGATAGCGATGGCATTCCTTGTGGAATGATTACAAAGAATACTACAGGCCGTTTTTCAGTTCGGTGTTTATCGATGCTAGAAATGAGCAAAAGTTATTCTATTTGGTTAGAGTCGACTGAGAATGTAATATGGAACGAGGCTGAGAGTAATAATGATCTGGTAATTTCTGTTTTACAAAATATACTGTATTTGGCTTAGCTGAAAATCTCTCGAAGATCTCCGATTAAGTTTGAAAGACTAAAAGGGCGAAAAGGGTCTCAGTTCAGCTCTCAGCAACGTGATGCTCTAGCTCGTGGAGTTGCATTGGTTTTGCGTGTGTGCAACACGAATATCAATAAGTTTTCTTCGAATACCTTACGCTCAAAGAAGGCAGATTACTCTCATATTTTCCACCTTTCTAAATTACTTATTATCTGTGAAAAATCCACTGCAGTAGACAGTAGATTATGTCTACTGCAGAGTAATCTGTGAGTAATCTACTGTCTACTGCAGATTATTATACTGCAGTAGACAGTAGATTACTTTCACATTTTCCACCATTATAAATTACTTTCTTTCTGTGAAAAAGCCACCGCAGTAGACAGTGGGATATCAGAATCAGGAAGATAACTGAAGAAAAACTGCCTGTTCCAATGAATAGTACTGTCTCTATACCACATGGAAGGTCACATACGTATGCATCGTTTCCCTGGGGAATTTTTGATACCTCTATACGCCATTTCTTTAAAACAATACGGCATCACATACATATGATGTCAACGCTGCACTATCCTCTTGCGGAGATGTTTTTTTCTGCCACATAATTTTTTTACGGTCTAAATTTTCTGGAGCCATCTAGATTGCTAAAAATAGTTTAAAAAACATAGCGAAAATGCTTTAGCCTCTAGTATTTATCATACATCATTTCAGTTGAGAAACTTTAGATTGTAATGGACAGATAATATCACCTGAGACAGCTCATAACGAGTCTGCCATTTAAAAGAATTTAAGTTCTGCTGGTAAGGTAACGGAATTAAGGAACACAAAATCACTTTTTAAAGCTTATAACATCTGTTCCTTTCCTAATAAAGACTACCTTAGCTGTATATTGAGAACCAGTATCACGTTATGCAAGTATCCATAATTATTTGTTTTCGGTGTGAAAAGGTTTAATTTCCAAAACAAAACTAGTATTACAACTAACTGAAATTATCTCTAACGAAAGGATAATTAATGATTTGGTTGTTTCAAACCTACAAATAACAAATGCATATTCTAAATAAATGATAATTTCAAGTTATTCCTTTGCGAACAGTGTTATAAATTGTAAGATGGGAATTGGAAGCAGTGTATACTTCCTTTTCTAATCAAAGCATCATTTTTGCACGATCTTAAACATTTTTCTCGTATTTAAGAAGTCACTGAAAACTCTGAAACATGTTTATCTGAAACATATAATGATTTTATTGCTGATGTTTCATGTGGTATGGCTATGTTCTGACTTCATACAAAATATTTAATTGTTACGAAGCCTCTTAATAGTCCTTTTCTTTTTTCATTTGCCTTCAGTTTTTTCTGTAGTTATTTAATCTGCAAAACTTTATCTAGATTCTCTGACTTTATATGCTTATGATTTTACATGAAATACAATAGCTTTTCTGTATGCTTTTGATTTCATTGTAGGATTTGGTATGAGCCATAAAGTAGGCCATGTTGACTTCTACCCGAATAATGGTCGAAATCAACCGGGATGTGAAACAGAGAAATTTATTTCAATTGTTTTGTCAGGAATAACAGAAGGTAAGTCCTTCGATTACAAAAGATAGCACGTATTTGCTACTTTTTAAAATTATTGATGCTCTTAACTACTGATTATACTTGAAACTACTAATGAAGCTCATGCTTATTGCAGAGTAATACAGAGATTATTAAATTTTAAAATACTAATGGTTTATGGAAGTTATAATTCAATTATTCTTTATTCAGGAAATGTTAGTAAAGTATTGAGGAGTTTAGCTTCAATTTTTAACAGTATACCGTTTTATTCGATTGACTGATGTAGTGTACTTTCTGAAATATTCTTATGAATCCTGTGATTGATTTTAAGAATTTGCTTTGCAGTATGTTTTTCGCTTCAGCTAAAGTTATCAAAAACTCATAAACCAAACGCGTATTTGTCCTCTTACTTCAACTAACAAAACTCTCCGTCTTTGAATATCACATTTACAGATGAATAGAGTATTCAATAAAGTATTGAGGAAAGAGAATAGTTCTAGCAATTAAATGCTGGAAAACAAAATAACAGAAGTAAATTAACAGCCCAACTTAAAAAGACGCATTTTTCCCAAAATTCAAACTTTTTTCATTAACTATAGTTACGAGTAAATTCTTAATGCGTATCAAGACACATATGAGCAGCCTTTTGAAATGTAATCAGCACTTAGGTTTTCATTAATGGCAAACAAAGAAGATATTTTACTTCACAAAAATGGCTTTCTAAAATTGTTACTGAAAACAATAATTTTTCCGCTATTTATCTTTTCAAGAAAGCAAGACATCTGCACATTCTTATTTTACGTGATTTACTTTATTACCGAACTTATTTCTGTAGGTAATAGGTATATATTTTCATTATCATATTCCAACGCTAGGACTTACTGGCAGCTCGTTAAATAGCTATCCGGCCTATTGAACCCTGTAGCTCATGGAGAAGAAAGAGAATTACTATTTTAAAACTCTGTAGAGACATTAGATATTTTTTCTTAAAGCAGAACAGATGAAATATGAGCAATGCCCTCGCTGGCACTGGAACCATGGACCTCTCGAATACGCGTCGAGCGTGCTGACCATTACACCAAAGGGATACTAAGAAGGCGGGAGAAATACCTTATAACACTTTTTGTTAAAATTAAGCTTTGATGTTTAAATGTGAACATTTTCAGAAGCCCTTAAATATTGAATGCACTAGTCGCTGTATAGTGTATACTGAAAAGAAAATACTCTGCTTTAATTAAAATTAGGAAACATTGTTGGAACATCTGCTGCTTAATTTTAAACTTTTGTTTAATACCTAAAATACTGATCAATTTTATTTTGAATTTATAAAATTTATGCAAGAGAGCTATATTTTCACATCATGGTCAAATTTTAAGCACCTGATATCGATATTTGACCAATGTAATTTTAATACTATGAATTATTATAGAACGCTATGAATTATTCCTTTCGCTTTGTGGTTTATTATCAATTATTTTTAAAGAAAAAGTATTTCAACTAAAACTCTTTAAAAACTCGATTCTACCATGACTTAAAAAATAATTTAGCCAATTTTAACTTTTTCTGATTCTTTTTATTGCAAAATGTAGTGAAAGCTTCCCAAAAGATGACCCCAAACTTCTAGAAACCTTCATGCAAGAGCTCATGCTTAAATATCTAAAATCCATAAAGATAATTTAAATCAATACAAGAAGTAGTAAGGAATCTTGACAAAAGTGTAGTAGTAATAAACTTCCTGACGCAAAACCATAGCAATGTCGTTTTTTAAGGGACTCATCATTATTTCGCATGATGTTTCTTCTGTCAATAATTTGTCGCAGGATACTTTCTTGTTTTTCAAATTTCCGGTATTAAAAATCAATAATTCTCTGATTCCGTTTTTCATCATCCTGGTAACATCATCTGTGAGTATAAAAAATTGAAGTTTCCTGAAGAAAACGAGGAAAATAAATGAACTACGTAGCAGAAAATTTACATAAAATGCATTAAGAAGAATCTTTATAATTTCTATCTAATAGGTTCTTTTTTAAATTGCATAATATTCTAATGATTTTTGTTTGTAGTATTGTTAAAACGATCCCCTTGTCTTTTGGTCAGTGCTTTTTTCTTTTTCAAATTAAATAAATTAAATTCTCTCTTAAAAAATAAGCCGAAGCTAAAAAGAGAAATATTAAAAGATAATAAATATGAAATTATTCACAGAATATGATAATTTTTATTACTATAATTTTGTTTTATTTGTTATATTCATTTTTAAACCATAAACAATGCAAAAATATCACTTCCAATATTTACAAATAAGAAAACGTAAGTAAATTATACTATAATTTTGTTTTATTTGTTATATTCATTTTTAAACCATAAACAATGCAAAAATATCACTTCCAATATTTACAAATAAGAAAACGTAAGTAAATTATACTATAATTTTGTTTTATTTGTTATATTCATTTTTAAACCATAAACAATGCAAAAATATCACTTCCAATATTTACAAATAAGAAAACGTAAGTAAACTTCCTGTTGAAAGTGTCTCCATAAATTAGTTTTAAATTTAGTTCAATTTATTATTAGTGTATGTGGTAAAATTTTTAGATTTTGTATAGAAATGTATATAATTCTGATATTTTATAATCAGGCGGTTGTACACCTGATTAACTTCAGTCCATTCGCCTGAGTCCAATTCCCGCTTTTAAGTAAATTTAATGTCAATGAATTGTTAATATGAAAACTTTTAAAATGAGGCAAAATGAGTAACTTTAATTTAGCCTAGATTTTAAATACAGCTCTATGGCTTTCAAGGACGATCATAAAACAGGTCCCTGTTTTTCAGGAGGAAAATATTTTTACATTTCTGATGTTGTTTAAAAAAACATTAGCAACGACGTTATTTACAGTATTAATGGAAAGTTGATGAATTTTATACAAAATGTAAAATTACATAGTATTAAGCTTAAAGATGGATTACGGGCAGAAATATTTTAAGAAGTACTTTATTTTATGTCCAGGAGCCAGACGTTTTGTTAGCTGCAACCATCAGCGATCTTTGGACTTCCTTCACTATTCCATAAACTACAAAAAAGTGACTCCAGTTGGTTATGAATGCACAAGCTGGGAGGATTTCTTAGCTGGAAAATGTGCTGAGTGTGGACCGGATACAAAAAAATGTGCCATCATGGGAATCCGTGCGGATGAGTACAAAAAATTTCGAGATAATTCTGTACAGCATGCTATGTATTTGAAGACCTCAGCTTTACCTCCTTATTGGCGTAAGAATGAATTTTTTTTTTTTTTTTTTTTTTTTTTTAATTCTACAACTCATTCTATTAGAATTCGGGAATTCTTTCAGAATCATTCTAAGCTCTCATCCGAAAAACTAATGATAGTTGTAAAGACTAAACTTCAATGAAAGAAAATTAGCAATTTAGTTAAAAATCATTGTTTGCATTTATGTGATATTAATTTATGAATTAGAACTTTTGCTTGGATTCTTATTTTTTATTAATTTAAAATTAGATTGTTATTTATCTGGGTGAGATAAGTTAAGTTTTTTTCTAATTTGTGAAGACGTTGTCTCTCAAATGCGGTTTGAATAACGCGTCCCCTTTTTATCTTAGAAATGAAATTAGCTGTGCTTTACGCAAAAAAGTTTAATTATTTGCTTTTATGTCAAAAATGGTGTGTTGGTGTATTTAATTATGGCAAAGCACACTAGGGCTATCTGCCTAAGGGGAGGGATGCCTTTTCGTGGAGGACTTTCTAAGGGAAACTGGCTCGTATACACGTTACACATGGGGAAAACCACGAAAACACCCATGCAGCCAGCCCGTTCGCGGGATTCGAACCTCGGACCGAACTACCAGTGTTCAGCGCCTTTACCGCTCGGCCGCTGGTGGGCTTTATGTCAAAAATGAGTTTCAAATAGCATAATAGTCAACTATAGTAAAGGAACTGACGACTCTACAGATAATACGCAGTATTTAAAAGGAGGTGTTTTTTAATGTGAGAAAAAATTTAAAGAGGACTTCATCAGTAACACAAAAGATGGTTTCCAAGAAATATTTAGCACTAAACAGCATAATATTTGTTTCTAAGTTGCTTATTTTTATTGAATAAAACATCACAGAAAACCTGGGTCTCAGGTTTGCAGAGTAAAGAAGACTTGTGCAGTGTCGTACACCTTGGATTCACCTAATGAAATTTCTTCTTTGTCCTTTTAATTTAGATTTTGCTTTTAAATTTTTAAAATTGATTTTATTTTACTTTCTACGTTTATGATAAATCATATAAATGTGTTTATTTTACGTTTATAATGGTTCTAATTGTGAATAGTATTAACTCGCTTTAATATGCACTCATTGGAAGGTAATGTGTGCATTTTTTCCAAAATGCACACATTACCTTCCAATGAGTACTTGGATACGGAATACATTTGACTTCTGCTAACGTTTCACAGTCATGCATGCTCTAAATCATAATGTAATAATAATAAATAACTTCAGCATTACTAATGAAATCGACAATGCATCCCCCCAAAATAAAGAGTAACATGAAGTTGTTACTAACCCTTGTAGCAACAGAATGAAAATAACAATTATTAATATCTAAGCAGATTTTGCATTTAGATATAGGAGCATCTTTGTATTTAACCTACAAACATAATGATTTATGTAGAAGCACTTACAAATAAGCATGATGAATATTTTCGAACTTATATTTGTTACAAGAAAACCCTACAAAAATGTAAATTTTGTATTTAGAAAGTCTTGCTATCTCTAACGCTAAAACTGTTTCCTAAAATTTTGTATTTTATTTTTCGAAATTTTGTAAATAGAAGCATGTGTCTAGTATCAACATTTAAGGCAATATAGCCTAAGCCATTTTGTTAACATACATACATATATGTATATGTCTATATGTATATACAAAAAGAAGGCAAACGAAGAGACAAACAACAAAAGAAGACTTCTTGACAAAACAAACACTAAACAACTTCTTGAAAAAAAGAAGGGATTTTAAGTTCCCTGCTATTACGTTAATCAACTGGAACTCCAATATTCCCAAAAAAGTAATAGAAAATACTATTATCAGTAAAATTAAAAGGATAAGGTATATTTGTACAGACATTCAAGATATTATCTCCTTCCTAATTAGCATACTCAAGGATAACCACGTTCCTACTGAATTTATTAATTTTTATCTCAAAAAGGCAGGCATTAATTTTAAATTTTAATCTTTAAGTATAGGAGATATGAAGTCTATATCCGAAACCTTTAATAAGGAAGATAAAGTTGGATGGCTTAGACCGGAAAATTTGTACAAATGTAGAGTAGTACGATGTTAAAAACTTGTGATATTCTTTTCCTGGCTTCTAAGCATTTACTAACAGCCAGTTTACTTTCTTAAGTCACAATTACTGCTTGTTACTGCGCAAAGATTTTTAACTTTTTCGTTATCTTATGACTATATTATGTCTTCATGACTTTACTTACTCATTCGAGTTAATAGCTAGTCACACTGCCTAGCTGTGTCATAACTACCATTTTCATCAACCTAATTTTTGCTGTTCTCTTAAACCTGGCAACTGCAGACAAACACGCCGGCCTTGAAATTAAGGGAAAAAAAACGTTCATTGTTAGTTACCAAGTACGATGTACTGAGTAAGTTTTTATAGCTTTTAAAATTATTCTGGTCTAATTCGTTATTTTAAATATGACAATTTCATTTAATTGAATATTTTTGTAAAATAATATAAGAAGTACTTCTTTTTTTAACATTTGCATTATCATGTTTTAATTACAGTTTTTACATATTTTGATCGCATCATTGATTCCATACTTGAGTTTCGTTCTAAGAGCTTTTTTGCATTTAAATAATTTTTTTCGTTTCATATGATGTTCCAAATAATTTTTTAATTGATTTTACTCTTGTAGGGGAATTTTTGAAATACATAGGAATTTGTTAAATTTGGAAAACGAATATTTAAGTAAAAATTAATTTTAAATTACATATACATGGCAAGAACGAAACACTATGTCTAAACAGTTGGAAAGAGTGTGAAATAAACTAATTCCCCCCCGAAGGGTCAGTATTGTTTCGCTATTCATTGTCTTTTTAGTAGCTATTTTTGGGTTATACATTTATATTATACTTTTTACATTGGCAATTTACATTTAATTATTATTTTGATTCTTTTTCAATTTGCTTTCTATATTTCTCAAAATTCCTTTTGTTAAAATATTTTTGGTTTTGCATTACTATACCCATGCCTGTATGGGTGACAGAACACGAGTAATTGAAGAGTTAGGTTTGGAGGCAACTTCCCTTGATAAGATTTGTCTCGTGCCTGCTCAAAAATTATTCACTAATGCAAATTAATTTATTCTTTTAAAAAGTCTAATTTAGTCTTTAAAAAAATGTTTAGGATTAATTTTTTGAAATATTATATACTTATTCATGGATTTAGATATTTGAATTTAATTTACATATGCTCTCAGAATTTAAATGATATTGTAGATTAGTTCGCAAAATTTAATTAACTTTAAATTTGCTTTTTGCGAATCGAGAATGTTTGTTAAATTCATATATATAATTCTATATACACACACAAACATATATATATAAACATACATATAATACTATATGCATTAATACTACTTGTATAATCATACAAGATTTGAATATATAATCATTACATAAATAATATTAATCAAGTTGTCATTACATATGGATAGATAGATAATGATAACTTGAACATCTAATACGTGTAATGCCGTTTAATTTATTTAATTGTAAATATTTATTTTTCTATATGAAAAGACCTTATTTAAAAATATCCAAAAAGATTGCAAAATATTTAACCTTTCCAAATGCGATGCAATCCAAATTCTGTTCAGTAGCACTTTTTTTTATTTTGCCTCCAATCAAAACATTAAAAATAAGGTATTATGATTTTATTTATGACTTCATTCCATGTGTTATTTTATGTACTCAACAGAACTTTGAATGCTTTTTATGCATCCAAATCAATGGTTACTTTTCAAGTTTTTTATTTGCCACTTCTTTACCCCTAGCTTTTTTGGAGAAGGTAAAATAATGAGTTAAAGAAATAAGTGAAGATAACCACGTTTTGTGCTAAAAAATGAGTGGACAGAAATTTAACAAATATCAATGTTTTCAGAGAACTTTCACTTCATATATGAATGATTTCAAATGAAATACTTTCTTTTTTTAGTATATCATTACCATGTAAGTGTGAAACTATTCAAGCCTCATTTTAGTTATAAGGACTACGCGGGCACTTTCAGTATTGGTTTGTACGGATCTAAAGAAGATGACATAGCAAAAGTACAAGATAGGTAAGATAAATTAATGATTTGTATAATTTTATTCCAGTTTAATACAGTAAAATGTAGCTAGTACATAGATTCATTATTAAATATTAAAAACATTAACGAAATTAATATGATATATGTCATGAAATTTAGGTCTTAATAAGAAATAAAGAATTATTCTAAAAGATTTTGCCTTATTTATTGCAATATATTTTATAATTTGTCCTAAAGATTAGGGATTTTCTAAGCATAATCAATTACATGCGTTATAAAATTTGCCAAGAAGATATATTGCAAAACAAATTAGCGCCAGTTAAAGAATAGCTATTTTATGCTGAGTTTCAGATTTTAAGTGTTAAATGCAAATACAAAAACGCTGTTATAGGAGGTTTAAGCAAGTATTTTACTAAAAATTACTTAGTTCTTCATTTTATTTATATTTAAATGGGAATAATTTGAAAAAGACCTACAGAACGCTTTTCACAGAAATAAGTTCCCACCAGCGGCCGTGCGGTAAAATTGCTGAACACTGGTAGTTCGGTCCGAGGTTCGAATCCCGTGAATGGGCTGGCTGCATGGGCGTTTTCGTGGTTTTCTCCGTGTGTAACGTGTATATGAGCCAGTTTTCCTTACAACGTCCTCCCCGAAGGCATCCCTCCTCTTAGGCAGATAGCCCTCGAGGCTTTGCCATAATCACACACAGAAATAAGTATATTAATTACCATTTACTACATTCTGTATTCTGAGACTTCTAAAAATCTCTAGGGGAAATTAATAAAATGTTTCATTTTTTTGTGAAACTTATGCATTGAACGTTCAACTACAAAATTTTATGTAACGAGAATTGAATTTTTACTACAGATCAACTACTTGACGAAACATAAATTTAAAATTTTGCAATATGTTCAATTATTTATTATGATACTAGAAACATAAAGCGAAGCGTCGAAGATTAATGAATTCGGCATTACTGTTTTTATTGCTATTTTTGGAAGTATTAAATCTGAACCTTAGGTGTTATTTGAATCTCTACGGTGTAACAAATTTGCTAATCCTTTTAAAACTACACATATCCATTTTCAAATCGATTCGTAAACACCCTCTGTTTTTTCGTAAATATCATCAGGCTTTGAAATGTTGAAAAACCGTTAAATTTAACTTTAGCCAAACTTAGTAAGCAGAAACTAGCAAGCGGACCATCGGTCAACACAGAAGTAAATTTATAGTGGGCATAGGATAAAATCACTTAAACCTGAGTAAATCGTCCTCTTTCGTTTTAGCTAAATCATGATTCAATAAGAATTTTTTAATTATTTAGAACTGTATTTCAAATCCGGCTGAATTAAACATAAGGTATTATTAGATGTCAGCATTATTAGTTACTTAATTTATAAAAAATTCGATGAACGTAAGCAGCATGATACAAAAATAGGTTCTGCAAAATAATAATCAAATAAGTATAGTGAAACGAAATACTATCAGACATACTAATTTTAAAACAGTGGCTCTAAAGGTTATTTCGGTGGGTGCAAAATCATACATCAGATTAAAACCGAAATTTAAAAATTATATGTATCAAATATAATACGAAATACCCAGGGTTCTTCTAAATTTCGTCCAGTGTAAAACATTGTGGGGAGTTACAATGAACAAATCATTCAGACCTTAGAATAAACCGCTATATTTTAATTCTAGAGATTATTTTGACTTTCTATTCATATTTTTCTATTATTCTATGCATATTCTATATATTCTATCTTTCTATGCATATTTTTCTATTCAATAATAATAATTTCATTTTGTTACAATTTTTTGTTTTAGGAGCATTGATTTAATTCATGGAGAGACTTACGAGTATATTATGACTACAAGTAAGGAATTAGGCGAAGTGAGAAGTGTTACCATGAAATGGGGCATGTTTTCTTTAAATCCAATTAATCTGTTTAAAAAGCCAAAGCTGTACGTGGAGTACATAACAGTAGTTCCCATGAATACCATTGAGAAATCGTAAGTAAATATATTTTTTAGAAAATGCTGCAAATTATCTTTCATTTTTAGTGTACTTATTCCATAAAAGTGTGCCTTTTCTTTATGCATACTGCTTTAGCGTGTTTTAACGCTATTCGACATTCAAAAAATAAACTATCAACAACAATCACAACAGGAGTGTAAATATCAGGAAACACAGTAATTAATAAGCGCAATGCAAATTGCGCAGCCATAACTTAAAAATAATTTTTCATATACGTATTATTGAGACATAAACAATCTTTAGCAAAGCAATTTCCTTGGAAACTACGAAATCAATATGTTTGAAACGAAACGATTTAAGATGCTACTAATGCGTGCTCCACTCATTTAAGGTAGGTGAGACAACGGCAAAGCACTCTCTATTAATAAGCAATTTTTTAATGTATTTCTAGTAAATTCTATATGGAGCAATAACCTGACACGTAGGAAGCATGTTTATTGCGCTATTGTACCTAGTACTTCAAAAAGATTGGCATCGTCTAAAAGGTTGTAAGGTATTTTCTCCTTTGGCCCTGTGCGCTTTTGTGGTGCAATTAGAATTACATTATGCTAGCAATCAGAATGTTTGGACTTCAAATTCCAGCAAGATCATCTTTAATTTTTCATGTTTCCTGCTATGATGTGAATTCCTGATTGCTCTAGAAGGTAAGGAAAAGTGTCATATTGGCCTACACTTTGATGTAATCCAATAAACTGGGTTTATAAAACTACTAGTTATAATTACAAAATCTCTACAGTATGAACGTTTCTTGTATAATCATGCTTAGATAGTTTAAATTAGTCTGAATTGTATCTAAGGTTGTGGCCAAGCGTATATTTCTTTCTTTCTAATATCATCACCCGCTAATCCACACTAGGAAAAAGTTTGAAACTTTCTGAAAATTATGGTTATATAAACCCTCGAAGAGATTTCCGAACAATATCTACTGCCCAAATCTACATCTAAACCAAACTTAAAAAGTACTAAAATTCCTTTATATAGTTTTCAAGCCTGCTTTTTCTGTTAATTTCCCGAAAATAAGCATTTTTTTAAAATTCTTTTTTGCTAAAACAAATATTAATTAAAAACATCAAAAACAGGGATAAAATTGGACGTTGGTTTAGAAATAGTATAATGGAAAATGAAAAGAAAATAAATTTAAGAGGCTTAAAAATAAATAACAGTTTTCCTTAGAAGAAACACATATGTCACGATGTCATAAAAGATTGATTTAACGAATTTCTTTCTTTGTACTTTGATTTTATTGGAAGCATTCACAGTAACAGTTTATTTTAAAACGAGAATATGCTGATTGACCTCGTAAAAATTCCTGTTTCAATGTATGCTTGCTTCAAATCTCAATAAGTGAAAACAGATACAAGCACATGTTATAAATTGAGAATTTACGAATGTACGAGTTAATAAAGATTACAAAATGCTTTTTTGTATTTGTCAATATATATAAAAGTCGTTAGTTTTAACAATACATAAAATATTAAAATAGTGCAAGGTGAATTTCCTAAAATTAGAGGCATTTATTGCAAATCTTTCGACAGCCTTAGAAAGAATTTCGTTTCGGACAGAGCCCGCCAGAGATCGAGTGGACATAACCGGCGTACACTGGTATTGAAACCCAGTTCAAATCTCCCAGAACGCTCTAACGGAAAGTGTGTTTTTGTGATTTGCTCATGTACACCGTAAATATAAGCCCGTTTTCCTTATAAAATTCTTCACAAAGGCATCCTTTCTCTCATGCTTTCATGCTTTGTTTTAATTAGTAAACTTTTTGAGAAACCTTCTAAAAAATCTAGTTCGTGGTTTTGATACAGATGAAGAAAGCCCGAAGGTTTCGTATACCAATTTTTATTGAGTTTACAGGAATTAGATTCGGCATGAGCTCTCCTCTTTCAGCGACCTCATACTCTTGGACACAAATGGGCCTATCAGGTCCGAAATATGGATAATTGAAGTAAAACTGCATAATACACTACCCGACTTTGAAAATGCAACACCAAGTAGGAGTGGCCATAAAGTGATGAAACTCGGCAAACAGCGACAGCAACAAAGTGTGATCTCTACTTCGAAATTATATGCCTAATATTGAGCGAGAACAGCGTTGGCTCAGTAGGTTGTAAGACCACCTTGAACGGCAATACACGAAGCAACACGTATAGTACCCAGTCAATGAGATTACGGGTGGTTGACAGGGAATGGAGAACCATTCCCTGTCAACAACTTGCCACAATTCGTCTTCTGAAAGCAGCAATGACAGGATCTGAAAATGGTGTCCAGACAATTTCTGCGAATCGCTGTTACGAGTTCTATATAGTTTGTCTACAGTCTGACTCACATATTATATCACGATTAAATAGCCTCATATTAATACTTTGATATTTCTAGGATATTTCTGCATCACATTTCATTAAAATATTTTGTGCATTTTTGACGAATTTATGATTTTGTCTTTCGAAGTTTAATGCTACTAAAATATTACTAGAATGGGTGAAATCGTATTTAAAACTGTATTTTTACTTTTTTTTTTTCAGACCAAGAAATATGACTGATCGTGTCTTCTGTGGTAATCCTAACAATCCCATTGAACCAGGCGATGTTGCAACCTTCCACAAAGATAATACTTGCCTTGTAGAAAATTTAAATTAATAAATAAACCTAAAATGTGAAATAAAAATATATACCGAATATCCATACTGTAGCTAATTAATGTTGATAGTAATGCTCAGTACGTGAATGTATACTATATATAAGTTTATATGTAGTAATAAATTTGGACTATTTTTGAATAATACAGGGTTTTTTATATCATCATTAAATTTTAAAGAAAAGGCATGATTAAAAACGGCAAAGCGAAAACTTGTAAAACTGATTTTTGATAATAAATGTCAGCTACTAGTTTCGTATTTTGTGATATATTAGCCGATATTCTAAAGAGATATTCACTTTGAATTTTCCATTTCATTCTTGAATAAATTAAGTTACTAAAAACTTTAAAATATACAAGATTTAACATTTTAAATACATTTTTTTCTAATAATGCTCAAGTAACCTCCAGATAATTAAAAATGTGCTTTAAATAAATTTTCAAGGAAATAATGTATTTTTTAATTTCTAAATCTCAGTAAATTATCTGTATAAAATAGTGCATAACTCTGCATTGTAAAATTTTCAATAACACAATTCTTTTTATTCTAAAACTGCATAAGTTATTTACTCATTCAGGTAATATTTATCCGTTATTAAGAAAAAGACGCAAATATGTGAAGTAAATATGAACGGTGATTTAAGTTATATAAGCGTCCATAAGTGTAATACTAATTAAAATTATTTAGAGAAATTTTATTCAATTTTTATTATCAATTTGTATTCAAGGAGAAAATTTATTCAATTAAAAATGTAACTTATAAAATCCTACACAAAGTAAGAGTAATGGAAGATAACTTATTGGCACAAATAAAAGGAAAAAAACTGTATATTTATTTTCCTTTTCCAACCTCATATGTCTGTTCGTCTTAATGAAAGCTCTTTTTATTCTTGCAAAACGTTTTCGAAAGTGCAAATTCGTCTTATATTTGAGGCAGCCTCATATTATGGTCAGTAGGCGATATTTACAACCATGGTCACATTAATTGAAACGTTTAAAATTATTTTAGTTATTTATAACTTCTTTCTTGTTTTCGGCTTATTCTCATTGTATTATTTGTACACAGTTGTTTCTTATCAAGAATCGTAATAAAAATGTTTTGTATTTACAATTAAACAAGCTACACTTCTAAACGAAGAAACGTCAAGACTCAGTGAAGAGGTCAAATCTCTCCTGACTGAGGAAACGTTTCCTCATCTACTTCATATTTATTTTGGACAAAGAAAATAGCACTTAATATCTGTAAAATGCCATTGAAATAAGTGGCTTACATTATTCGCTGCTCTCCTTCCTGATTTCTTCGCCTTTTCATTATGATCTTTATTAATCAGATCGAATTGCCTACTGCATAAAATAAGATACATGAGGTTTTATTTAGAAAAGGAAGCAGTACATTAAATGAATGTATTTAACTACAATATCACAGATTCAAATCTTAGTGTAAAACTTCGAGGCTATCATGGAATTTCAATGTAAAAATAAAAGGCAATGAATAGAGTAAAAAGGTTAAAAATAATAACTTGTTTCTATAGCAGTAATCGGTATTCATCTGCGAAGAAAAGTCTGCGATTACGGTATAATAAGAAAACGACAAAATATGTTAAATCCATATTTCTTGTGTAACGATCTTGCTTCAGTAATAATCTGGCTTGTGTAGCGATTTGGCTTAAGTTCGCCTTAAGCTCTTAGTAATATACATATATATATTCGTAAAACTAATATTTGCTTCATTCTAAAATGATGTCCGTATAACGTTCTTTGTATATTTGTGAATCCTCTTTTAATCTTACTGTAATCATAAAGCTCGTCCACTTTACTGTAATCATAAAGCTCGAACACTTTGAGCTGAAATTTTATTCACACTTCCCGTCTGAAAATGCAAAGGGATTCAGTCTTTAAATTACCTATTCATAATAATGTCCATGTATGAAATATAATGAATTTTATTAAATTAAAGCGAGAAGAATTCATAAAAATTAATTTTTACAGTAAAGCCATCTGGAGCCATCAAAGGATTCGAAAGAGGAGAAAGAAACAGTTGATTTATTCAAGTTTGAAACGCCTTAATCTGATAAAGAGGAAACATGCACGGGTAAACTTAAATTAATATTTACGATCGAAATATATGAAGAATAGTTTGATTTCATTTACCGTAAGTGAAATATTTTAATGTACATACAGATGGATCGAAAGCTTGTGAGTAAAAGCCTTTATTGTTGATAATCATACTGAAGGCTTCAGACTGCAAAAGGCTTGTTCTGTTTTCATATCTGAATTGGGTGTTACATATTCGCTTTTTCGATAACTCCGTAAAAGGTGCGCTCTAGTATATATACGGACCAGCTTAATACATTAAACTCATTGGAAAGTTTTCCGCGAAACACAGTTGTCTCTTTTAGAAGTTCTAAACTTGAAGCGCATTCAGAAGAGTAAAACTTTACAGCTGAGTGCTCAGATATGTCAGCGTAAAAGGAAACTAACAAAATTGCATATATTACGGGGAAGAATACAGGGAAGACCTGTTCCTTTTCAAATATAAGAGCTGACATTAGGCACAGGACACTTTACAAATGGCAGCTGCTATGGTATTTGCAAACAAGTAATAAATTACAGTGAGTTAAAATACAGTGTTCGTGGCCGAGCAGAATTAGGAAGAATAAGGCTATTTTAACTCAATTAAGAATAGGTCCTTCTTCTATCATGCATAGGTATTTGCGTAATGGTGAGAAAATACTTGTTTTGGTAGAATGCAATGTACCACCGTATGTACAACACATTTAAACGACTGCTTATCTTTTAGCCATATGTCCGCCTGGAATATGTTAACTTTCTTGATTTAACATTAGTTGAATTAATCGGGAAAGACCCCATTTTAATTTGTTCGCATTTCTAAAGCAGGATGAATATTACAATTTTTTTAATGTGTTTTTATACTCCCTAGTGTTCTGTGTTTTGCGCATAATCATTTTTATTAAATTTATATATAGCCGTTTCATTTATTTTGGCATATTTTATCTATGAGATATAGTCATATTTCAGGCATCTGTGTAGTTCTGTCTGTATTATCGTTAGTGTTATCATGGTTTGGCCCAAAATAACTGTCTCTGGTTTTGGGCCATAAAACCACTTATTCCAAATAATATTTTGAAATCCTTCATTTTCCTTTTTTACTGTAACTAAATGCACATATACAATCTTTATGTTTCTATTTTACAAGCAAAGTAGCCAGTCAGAAAAATCTAACTCTTCTGGAGAGTTGTAAATATGAGGAGGCTTTGAAGTAGACTCACAGTTTTCATGTATATTTACTTAATTTAGATTCCTATAGCAATCCACATAACATGTGTACGGTCTTTCGTAAAATTTAACGGCCCTCGAAATTCAATTAATGGTCCTCCAAAATCTATTCTAACTAAACACATCTCTAAGATGTCGCCAAGTACAAAGCAAAACTTGCCAAAGAATATGTTAATTATTCATATTTTTCCAAGAAATCAAGATGGCATACCAGCGGCCGAACGATAAAGTCCCTGGCCACTGGTAGTTCGGTCCGAGGTTCGAATCCCTCGAATGGGCTGGCTGCGTATTTTTCCCATTTTTAATGTGTATGCGATCCATTTCACTTAGGAAATCCTCCATGAAGTCATCCCTCCCTTTAAGCAGATAGCCCTTCTGTACTTTGTCATAGTCGAATAAACCAAACCAAGAAATCAAGAGTAACGGATATATTTGTTGGGAATATTGTGTCCGTGTTGAAAAACAGCTATGAAAATGAGTAATAAATCATATGGAACAGTCGAAAAATGACTCTGTTATTTATTCTTTAATTTCACTTATTTTATAATACTTAAAATTCTAAATATTATTTTCTCAAGCAAATTTTTATTCATATGAGTACTTTAAAGAAAAATGGAAAACTTAGTTTCGAAAATAAGGCATGCATAAATCTATTGCATTTATGAAATGTTTGAGAGTAATCCAGTAAAAAAGTGTATATTATTTTGACTTCATAAATGTTAGAGATAATATGCGCATTTTTATGGTTTCTAATAACATATAGCTTGAAAGCATAAAAATTATTAAAGAGAAAGACATAAGAGTTGTAAACGAAAAATGAATAATTTTTAGACGAATAAAGCTTTTATGCGCAGGTTTTCCTTTCCCTGCTTTCTTTGGTTATGTTTATGAAATAATGTTTTAATGCAAGAGCGTTTCAAGAAGATTGCTCGACTAAATATCTTTTGAATGATGTGTCGTAACATTTGTCTGGGTTAAGGAACGAATAAGATGAGATAGATTTTTCAGACTACGATTGTTATTGTTATATACCACATTTTAATAAAAAATATGGAGAATTAATAATTTTTTACGATCCCCGAAACAAAGTGAGTAAAATGGTTTCATACCAACAGAATCTTTAAAAGACAGTCCTCATATGATCAAAATTAATAAGAGCAAGGTAGCGTAATCAAAATTTGGAGACCACTTACAATTATTGATATTTAAAGGTAATGAGTAGTATGTTTTCTTATGAAATTCTCGTTTATAAGAAATGATAAAATTTGGACCCAACAAAATTTAAATTTTACATTTTTAGCTTACTGGTTAAATTAGTTTAAATCATAAATTTTCTGGGCGAATTTCCAACCTATAGAACTAGATTTTTAATTTTTAGTTTAATTTTGAAGGCCGAGTTTTCGTATTGCAGAACCAGGCTTCTCTAAAATGTCTCTAACAGTTTGAAAAGTAAATAACTATTCAGAAATTTCTTTGTTAAGCTCCTATGTAAAAAGCATTTATTTCTGTATATCTTTTTAATAAAAGATATCACGCAACCGAAGTAATCATAGCCTGATTATTTGATTCCAACCTTGAATTCGATCAACTAATCTGCGAACAACTGTTTAAGAATATTTACTCATGAAATCATTTACGGATAATCTTCATATACATACATCGGCCCACTTAATTAGAAAACGTTTTCCTAGCAATGAGTTTGAACTCCTCTAATCTGAGTTACAGCAGGTATGCGACTAAATATTATTCCAAAACTTGTTTACGTTAACTTGTATTCAGATAATACTCATAATGGCCCGAGAGTGGTTTGTTTATGCACACTCTGTGCTTTCGGATAGCTTGTGGCGACATTTACAGGCAATAAATGGAAGTGCGATGCAAGTCTCGTGTCCTTGGAAAGCAAGTTTTAGCCGGGGCCAGAACCAGAGGCCTTGTCTTGTGAGTTAAAGGCCTTACCCCCCCCCACACACACACAAGTGACTGCTTCACATGTGACTGCTTCAAGAATTTCAACTCTTTCAAACTGCAATCAATTCAGTGGCTTTTAAAATAAACCTTTGTTAATACATCAGCCTGACGAATGTACAAGCTATTTAATAACATAAAAGTAAATCCGCTTCTTTCCGGGCAAATTAAAATATTAAGTGCAAAGTAACAAATGTCTGAGTAAGTGACATTTCATTTATATTTTACTAACGGTTAAGATTAAGTTTATTCTTTCATTTATGCCTCGTTTCATCACGTATTTGCTCAATAAAAGGTTTATAAAGCAAGCGGAGTAGTTTAAATTGAGAAGAACCGCAACCGGATGATTTGGAGTAGAGAATTGGTTAATGCTGGCGGCGAAACTTCTAGACAGAAAGGCCTCTAATCCGAATAGATGTAAATGCCGGTTTTGTAATTGTTGAACATTAGCTGAGCTTGGCTTGTGGCATCCGGTGTTAGCTTAGAGTAGAATACTGCATGCGTAAGCAGCTAATATGTTGTAAAAGTTAACAAGCTGAGATCTCAAGAAAATTTTATATATTTATTTTGTGCTGCGTTATATTACTTTAAACTCGCTAAAACTGGGTTAATGAAGTTTTAACGATTATATTTTGGTGCTGTATCTTGTGCACATATTCAAGTTAAGCAAAAGCTAAACCTCTCCGACATACAGGGGGTAACAGATGAAAGCTGTTCTGAACATCCGAGCAGACTACATAGGCTATTCGGGTATTGTCCGGAGCCCGCAACTTTCTAGGACAAGCACTTCTTAGTTCACCAAGAGCACCCCATCTGGAATTTATTTAGAGATGTTAAAAAGCATACAATTTCAAAGAAGAGTTAGTTGCATAATTTTGCTATTAACTACAAAATTAACAGTGATTAGTGATTATCAATCCAGGGACCTGTCATTCTCGAAGCGAACGCGTTAAACACTGAGCAGAGATAACGTTTAAAGCTGAGCAATTAGAAGTAGTTAATTAGTTGGGCACCCCATTAAACGCTGTTCCTTTGTATCAATTAACCTTTGTATCAATAATGTCACGAGGCAATTATGGCTGGAAAAACTCAAGCCGATTAAATCAATTCAGTAGCAAATAACTGTAACAGAGTAACCACACAGCGATAGTTGTCAAAGGCTTCCTTCTGAGCTCACACACTCGGCGCTTATCTATTTTCTAATTTCATCTTGATGGGAGAGAACACAAGCAGAAATGATAATAAAGCCAAAATAGTAAGATCGATAGATTAATTGATAAAACCCAACGAACTTTCACTTGCTATTTAGTTAGTAGTGACGCACTTTTATCTGTGAAAATAATGGGATTTTAAAGAAGATGCACAATATTTATTGTTTGAGTGCTAAACGCAGTTACATGATGTGTACCCCAAAATGAACTATTCAACTTTGCCATCTAGTGGACACCAACTCTTTCGAATTCAATCTCAACTAAAGAGATTCTGCCTGCATAATGAAAACTTATTAACGGCTCTGCGCTCTAAGTATGTATTTTCTCTTGCGTTTCTTCTGCTCTTTTTTATTAATTTTTTTTAATTCTTTATTTGTGAAGTTTAATATCACATTGATGATTGTATCTGTGAGATTTTATTTTATACTGTGTGACGCATAAACAGATGTTTTCACTAAAAATAAATATTTTAGAAATTGTTCATAGTTAAGACAGACGATAAGGATTATTTTACTGCGTTTTGAAGAAATATTTTAGAGATATCACCTGAGAAAACAGTTATTTCGAGAATTCTGTATGGCGTTGCTGCAGCAAAACAAATACCCTCGATAAGCATTTTTTCAAACTGAAACTTTGTTCGTTATCTCCATAATCAGAACGAGCCGATTGCTTTTATGCAGCATTTTTGAATATCTATTGAGATCCGTGATTACGCTCGCCATTGCATAATTTAAATTAAAAATTGCTGAGTGATTATTGTTCTAATCTATATCAACAGCAAGAATTTGTATACATAATTTTATTACTAGCTTTTCCTTCTCATTAAAAAGAGCTATGGATTAATTGTTTAATCCTGCCTATGTTGACGCTTATTCTACAATAAAATGGCTGATATCTGTCTTATTCTTACAAACAATACATAGTGGCCTCTCCTTAAATCATAACTTGATATGTAACTTCAAAACCACGGCACGTATACTTGCGCAGGAAATTTTTGGGTAGCAAGTAATGGAGAATCGTTGAAAATTTGCAATACTCTTTTATGACTTCTCTTAAAATATCTTTCAAAGACGTTCTACAAGACACGTCCTTAGACAACTCGAATTTTGTTTTTTCATTCATTTTAGCATGATTCGATACTAAATCTCCCAAATTTGACAACTCTGCATAAACTCTTTCGCTTTTATGATTCCTTAATATTATTCTAGTTTATTTTAAAACATTTCTCATGAATTGTGAACGAACTGAAATGCACGAGCAAATAAAAGAGTTCTGAGCTCCTTAGGACTGAAACAATTTACAAATCAATTTTTATAACCAAACTAGTGCATTAACTTGAATAGTGCTGCAAAATCGATTGTGATACAAGCTCAATAGCTGGGACGGATATTTCAAGATTTGAGCCGGCCACTCTCATGTTTCCTAGAGCTGGATATATGCTCATATGACGGGCAAAATCTCATTATGCGCCTGCTGGTGAAATTGTCCTTTGTTAAGTAAACACATAGCGTTTGCGCTGATGACTGCTAAATTAAACCCTACTCGAGCGGTAAAATCAAACAAACTTAGAGTTATTAATCTCCTCGGTCATGGTAGCTTTTGCATTCTGAACAGAAATGTTAGTGCAGGCCAAAGAGAAGAATCATTTCGAAACTCTCTATCCGAAGCTAAAATGTTTCCATAATTAAATTGTTTATCAAGGCTGAAATTTCACATTGAATTTCTTAAAGGCGGTGACACGATTGACATGAGCATGACAAGCAAATTAACGGATTTTAATTAATATCGCAATCCGTCACAGTTCCTTTTTGAAATGTAAAACGCCTTATATTTTTAACATCATTTAAACTATATTTACAGGATTATCTAAAAGTCCTAACTCTAGCTGCGCCGTTTACTATTTCATTGGCAAAATCAAAATGAACTTCACAAACTTATAAATTTATGTAGTACTAGAATTAATTTACATATTTTTGTAACATATATTAGCTTATTTCTCAAATTTAAGGAATTAAATTAGAATTTCAAGATATCTGCAATAACCATGATCATTATCTATCCAGATACAGAAAAATCTAAATAAAGGAGTTGTCTTTTTTTTTTCTGGGTGAGTAGTAGGCTAAAGTTAGAATTGCGATTAAAGTATTAAATATTCAAGATAAATTTCTTCATATTAGCAACTAAATTGATATGTTAAAATTTTACATTAATGAAATTAAATACTTCAGCTGCATCTTCAAATTGTGAAAAGTAGACTTATCTTATAAAATACCGTCCTAAAGTGCAAAACATTCATAAGAAACCAAAACCATTTGAAAGCGTTAATTCTTCAAGAGAAATTTTCATTTCATATAAAATTAACTAATTATGTTCTGAAACTACATTCTATGAATGAAATTAAATAATTAATTTATATCCTCATCTATTAAAAGAATGAAATGATAATAAAAAATCTCACTTATATACAAGAAGGAATTTTAGAACAGATTTATGCATTAGAAATCAGTGCGATTGGAAGATATTAAATCTTCAAAACAAATTTCCTTTTTATTAGCAGTTCAATTACTACGCTAAACCTTTACTACATAAATAAAATTGAATATTTAGATGACGTTTGAAAGTATAAAGCAGAGGTTTCAGAACGTGCATTTAACACAACTGCAAATAATCAGAATTTTTAATTTAGTTAGTTCTACATGCAGTCCTTCGCCATAAGTTTGAAAGCAGTGTGAATAAACCATTGCAGTTTTCATAAATTATTTGAATATTTCTATCTCAATTTCGGACAGCTTAAATTTGATTATTTCAGCAAAGAAGAATTAAAAAGCTAATAAGATATTTTTTTCATATTCTTCCTAAGCAATATATTAATTTCTGTGTTGAACATCCTCCTATTATTCCTTTTATACTACGTAAATGCATTAAAAGTTTTGTTCTTTTATTTTGATTAAGAAATTTTACAGTATATCAAATCTGTATCTAAACAAGACATATATTGTTTTAGATATTGCGCAGAACACGAACGAAGATTTGATTACGAATGAGCACAAACTTTCATTAAAACTTTCTGTGAAACTGGACTTTTCCCATCATTCACTGCGCACATAGAATGACAAAGCCATGTATATTTCTTGATTATTATAACTGGTAGAATAATTTTTCCATTTTAGTGTTGAAACGCAGGTACACATCCTGTGGACTAAAAGTATGTAAAATATAAAATATCTTTCTTTCAAATAATAAATTAATAAAAGCCCATCTTCCATCTTCATTGTAAAAATAAAAACATTTCTGGACTGCGTCATTTCTAGATTAATCTATGCCACGAAGCTTGCGTAACGCTGATGACGTACTAATTGGGAACGTGAACTCTGAGAACTGAAACTCTTCTATCCTAAACACAAAACCTTCTGTTGATAAGCTCCATCTTGGATAAATGAGCACTTTCAGCTTCACCTTCCGTGCTGCTTGAACGCCGCTGTGCTCTCTTCCTATTTCAATAGCATTCAAAAATGTAAATGTTAATTAATAGGCACGATTAGAGTGCCAAATGAATTGTTGCCACAAATGTGAATCCGGCTCAGCTTCCTCTTCAATATGGGTCGATGCTCCAAGCATTAAGTATCTACTCCAAACAACATTGCTACGCTTCTACGTCTCAGTATTCCTAGTTGGGTATGTCCCTAAATTTGTTTTCATTACATACATACATACATATATATATATATATATCAGATTATTTTTAACGTCAGAAGAAGAAATAGAAACAGTGAGAACCTGTTTCAGTAAAATTTTGTAAGTAATACAGTACAGAAGGAAACCAAAGTACAGAAGGAAACCACAGTACAGAAGGAACAGAAGTACAGAAGGAAATCAAAGTTCGTTTAATTAGGTCGAAATAAAGAATGTTAAATTTCCTGGGAAGACGTATCATGTTTCAAGCACCTGAAAATGTATGAAAATATCATGCAATAGGAACTGCATACTCTGATTCTCACGGACGGTAAACTCAGAACTACACAGTATATGTCTCTCTTGCTAATTTACTACAATACCCAAACATTAGCAAAGCAAAAAAAAAAAATAAACAGTATACTCATGGTTGAGCATAATTATCTTCTTAATAATTATGTTTTACCATGACTTCGGTTTGAATCGTAAGAAAGAGTGGATTTACTAGCCAAACAACCAAAGTAGGGTGAATAGCAAATTCGCTTTGTGGTGTAGATAAGTGATAAAAAAGCTTTTGTGCAAGCAAAAAAGACATTTTACAGTAAAGTAAATAAAAATTAAGCAAAAAATATCAAACGAGTTTTCTGCTAAAGAAGAGGGACCTTTATCTGACCGCACTCGAAATTAAGAGACTTTTAATCAAAATATATGCTATAAATATATGCAAGGTTATGTATTAATATGCAAGTGTGCTTTTTTTGCCTAAATTTAAATTTACGTTGGGATGTTTCTCTTCCGGTTAGTACATTATATTATAAATATTGACACACATTAGTTACAGGGCCAAAAGGTTTAAAAATATTGGATCATTTTCTACGAAATTTAAAGAAAATTACAGTCCGAGAGCAATTTTTTTAAGATGGCTTTCCTAAAATAAAGCGAGGCAAACCTCTTCCAAGTCTATCAATGCTGTCTATGAGAAATGGAAGACATGTTGAAACACCAGCCGCAATATGACACTTGTCAAGAAAAATGACGTGCTCTTAAATATATTTTTCTTATGTGTCATTCATATTTTAAAACTTCCTATATTTTTCTACTCGTACCTCACAAGGTTTGCAACATCCAAGGTTATTTATCCCAGGGTGGATGATTTCTAATATACCTCATAATGCTATCATATAGCACAGCAGCATTACTCAAAATGTTCTGAGCGCATGCTAAGCAACAGTATACTTTTCCGATTAATATCGCATATTCCATTTTGTTATTTTCATGATATATGTTTTTCTTACAAGACATAAATATCTTTTTCTATTATCATATACAAGATTTACGAAGCCAATGAAAATGTTTTGCTATTCTTATTATTTTATTACATTTAAATTAATGCTTCGTTTACTCAAAATTATAGCAGATAGACTTACTGTACTTGCACTGGGGGCAACTTAATTAGATTTTTCAACCTTAAGCAGGTGTACGAAGCATCCTTTCTTTAAAACAAAATAATATTATTGATAATGAAAAGAATTTATAAAATTATATTTATTATAAAAGCAATTTCCTGAATTTTCTTATTTTAAGCAACATAAAGAAAAAAATGTTTACTGACAAGAGTTACAGAGTCACATTTGCGAATGT